AACTTTTACAAAGAGACTAAAGAGGAGCTATTTCTAATATTAAGTTAATTTCAACTCCAAGACAGCCCACCTGTTAATATTACTGTCAAATGAGATAGTGAGCCATATTCTTTTTGTATTTGTTATTACTCTGATAACATTACAACGGTTTCAATACGACATCTCAATTTGAAAATACAGTATCTCCATGGATGTCAAGGCTGATACTACGAAAATATTCTTGGTAACGACGAATTTACATTTCATACAGCATGAATTTTGTTCTCACCATTGGGTGCATTTATTTTCGATCACAGGCGAATTTACTTTCCGGAAAGACTGTATAACACAATACATATTCATTACTTCCATTTGGTTCTTTCTCTCTCGATACTAAAGAAAAAGAGTTTGGTATACAAAAAACAGGCATGTATCATTTTGTATAACAACGTATTTATTGATAAAGATATTAAAGACTATCATTGCTGTTGTTGTTATCACTATTACTATTATGGCTGTTATTATTGGCGTTATTATCCTCCATCATTTGACTTGTTGCATTTGCTTGCTCTATTGATGGTGCAATAGGCTTTGTAGTTAATGCCAAAAGGCGTTTGTCGGTATATCCAGACTATATAATAACAATGATAAGAAAACCCTATTCTATCAACTATAGAATTCACAACTTACACTTAAAAGATCCTGTTCACAAGGAACTCTCATCTGAAGTATAGTATTGTTTTTCAAGTTTTGTTTCAACACCCTTTTTAAAGAATCATCTCCTATATAAAAATGTCTTGTTTCTAGCTTTCCTGTTTTACTATCATGACATAACTTACTGTTCAATAGACACTTCCATAATCCATCAAAGCCTTTGTACTGTAATACCATTCCAGAAATAGTTGGATCTTGAAAGGTCAATCTTAACCAAGCTATAAGTGGTTCAATCGTTGCTTCGGCTGTAGAAGGAACTGTTAGAAATATAAAAATATGGTATATATAATGAACTTGCGAGATAGTTGAAAGTAATATGTTCTACTGTACGTAATATGACTCACTTCAACAATAACACCTGCTGTAGGTAAGGCTTGGGCCATGGGTGGTACGGATGTGTTTTGAGTTTTGGCATCATGGGTGGTAGTAGTGGTTGTGTTAACATGGTTTTGATGACTATTCTATCGTTATTTATCATTAAAGCACACACGGTGTATCGTATATTACCTAAAATTAGGTGCAGCATATTGAGTGTTGGTATTGGCTGGCCAGTTTTGTGTTGTGCCTTGAGGCATTAAGGATGGGTTCAATTGTGTTTCCTGTGGTTGTTGTTGTTGGTGGTGGTGATGTAATGATTGTTGGTGCAATTGTTGGTTATGAACCAAAGGCGCCTCTTTTGATTCCTCTTTAGTTAAATTTCTTTCTTCTTCTTGTTGTTGCTGTTGCTCTTGTGGCGGCTGTGATTGCTGTGGTGGTGGTTGTTGAGGCTGTTGTTGTTGTTGTTGTTGTTGTTGTTGAAGCTGTAATTCTTTTTGTTTTTGAAGTAATTGTTGTTGCTGCTGCTGTTGTTGCTGTTGACTACTTACCAGGGCATTCATACTTTCGATTAGTTTTCTGACTTCAGCCAAATCGCTGGCTGCTGCTTCCGTGGCCCTGTCCATCATGAAACTCATTTTCTTTTTCTTTCTTTCTTTTGGAAAAGAAAAAGAATCAGATTGGTTGATTTTTTTTTTAAAATCAGTTACACACTTTTTCCAGCTGCTGATACAGTCACTTTGGATACTGTTTTTCTGTTTTATCAACTTATCAACCTTGCTCAAAATGAGACAAAAGAAAATGAGAGTTGTTTTTTATCTTTTTAGAGCCATACACTTGAAGGAATTGTAAGATATCAAGGGAAGTATTAAAGATGGGCAATCATTGAAACAATAGGATCATTTAAGAACACAAACAATAGATGCTCTTTTTTACTTTAATGCAGAAAAAAAGGGACCTTTTCAAAAATTTTTATACTCTAAAGCCTAGTAAGGGCATTCCAGGATTAAGAGAGAAGCACTGGACACATCACAGTTTAAGTTTATACTCAATATAAATCAGTTTGTTTGATAATCAATGAAAGAAACTATTGTTAAAGATTCCCTAGAAGCTTATTAAAGAAAGTCCTAAATAAGCTACTCCATCATTGATCATGTATGCCCTCTTTAGATGATAAGGGCGTATAATTAAAATAAAAGATTCTCGTTTATCATATTCAGACTATTTAGTAAAAAACCATGACAAATGCCAAATGATTTTATTTATGGCGTGGGATGAAATAAATAGATGCGGTTATTCAATTAAGCTTATCCTTCACACACTCTTTCTTTAATGACTCTACCGATCAACGCTCATCTAAAACTAGTTCATAACCAAGAGACTCAATGGGTTGAAGTCTCTGAAGACTTGTGGAAACTTGTATCAGCAAATCAAGGTAAACTAAACTTTTCAAATCTATTAAAACTCACTATTGTTTAAGACAATATTGCACTTTCTGTCACCGTGCCATCGTTGGCAGCGCGCACACCTATCAGTACAAGGGACTCTCAACCAAGCCTAGACTCATTCATTGCGCGATGCAGGCCTGCAACTGAAGAGGTAAAACCCAAAAAAGAGAGGGAGAGCAAGTATTGACTTTACGAATAGAAAAAAGGACAAGTAGTATATGTAAGTAGTCAATTAATCAAGTCTGTCTATGGATCAGATGCATTATCACACTTGGATGACGAAGAAGAAGAAGAAGAAGAAGAGACTACGTGTAAGGTTGAGATTAGAACAGTGCAGTTGATCGAATTGGATGAAATCATCCTAGGTGCCTTGAATGAAACATCATATACACAGGCACAGAAAGGTAATAGTCAACATAATAAGAATGATGACCTTACCATTATGATAGATTACAATGCTATATCAACTCTACTTTCGGATAAGATCATCAGGAGCTCTGAGATATATCAATTCGACAATGAGCTCGCTTATAAAGTATTGATGACGAATCCAGTTAGACAAGGATATATTCATTCATCAGAGCGAACCAGACTCTTTGTGGTCAATATATCAGACATGGATGACGACGAAGCACTAGGCAATTCTGTATCTCTATCATCCATATCGTTCAACACACTCAATGCACAGCCAGATCCAGTTGTGATCGAACCGCGAGAGTACGATGTGAAAATATTAGAGAGAAAGTGGCCAGAGGCTAGGCTTTACCCTCCACCAATTGCTAATGAAGATGATGAAAATCGCGTCTTTATGAAACTAAAGGATTTGGCAAGCTGTGGTATTTTTAGTGGAGATTGGGCTCTTGTCAGCGCAAACGATCCAAAAAAGTCCAGATTGTGCAAAATATATGGAGCGGATGATATTCTAGAGGAAGGGTAATAATAAAAAAAAAAGATATATGTATATAGTGAATAATGCATTTCTTTTCTTTTTTTTGTTAGAGACGTTGTTTATCTTCCTCCCACACTTTATTTTAATCTCAATCTTCCCCTTCCACCTGAATCAACCTCAGCTGCAAAGATCACAGTAACTAGAGTTCAAGATACTCCAGAACGTGGCCCGCCTGTTTCATCTGCTGTAACCATTGCTCGTGTTGCATCTCCTACATCCATGGATAAAGCACTCCAGTCGATATGTTTAGATTCATTAAAACAATGGTTTGAGCAAAAGGAACGTATTGTATGTAAGGGCGATATCATTGCTATACCAATTAACGAAGACATGGCTCGCTTAAGGCCATCTGAAGACGAGTCTAGTATCAAGCCATCCACCCATCCACCCACGACCTTGGTCTATTTCAAAGTTATCCGTCTGGACACGAGCGACGACACCAGTAACAACACGCATCCTTCCTATTACGGTTCTGGACGCCGAGTTGTCCCAAGCAAGACGCAGATGGTACAGACAGGTGTCGAATATTCACGTGTGCCCGTAGGCTCCATCTCCTACTATCACGACTTTGCCGAAAAACTGCCCTTGGTAAGATCAAACGGACCTACTTACGATCAACTATATGAACTCGTTTCGTCCTCGTTACATTTTGCTGGCCTTAATTTCGATCTCTCTTGTAATGCTCTCTTTCATGGCCCTAGAGGTAGCGGTAAGAGCACCTTGGTGAAGGAAGTGGCAGAATCCATTGGCGTCCATGTGTATGAATTCTCTATTTATGATATCCTCTCTGATACCGACGCTAAAACTGAAGCTTATCTACGAGCCAAATTTGAAAAGGCTGCTGCTGTTGCGCCTTGTGTTATGCTCATACGGCATATGGAGGGTCTCGCAAAGAAAAGCGCTGTTGTTGAATCTGGACAAGGTAAAAAGTTGAATATTACAAAAGCATTGCTTTTTCTAATTTTACTATTAGAACCTTTGCTAGCTACGGTTTTAGAAGATTGTATAAAGAATGCTGGCTCAGCGCATGCAGCAACGGGATACCCTGTCATGGTTATTGCCACCACAGGAGATATAGATACCTTACCTTCTAGCGTTTTGTCTTGTTTCAAGCATGAGATTTCCATTCACGCACCTGATGAAAAGGCTCGTTTACAGATACTCAAGAACTTGTTATACCATAGTCCGCTGGCTCCTGATGTTTCTTTATCTAATTTGGCAACACAAACAGCTGCCTTACTAGCCAAAGATTTAGTAGATTTAGTAGCCAGGGCGGGTGTACTTGCCTTGCAGAGAATAGATCGTGGCATGTACGTTTGAATTATAAAGACACACACACAAAATATAACCTTGTTTTACTTTAGTCATCGTAAAACGAACGAATCTGAAGAAGGGTCGACAGAGGGACCAGATATGTCTATGGTAACCGCCTCAGACATCCGTGCAGCTGGCGTCACCTTGACTGCTGCTGATTTTGATGGTGCCTTGGGTGAAGCACGAGCTAGTTATTCCGACTCTATTGGAGCACCCAAGGTATATATATACATTGAAATCATCTTTTATTGTTGATCTAACCCATAGTGTCTAGATTCCCAATGTCACCTGGGACGATGTTGGCGGTTTAGCTCATGTCAAGGATGACATTCTCGATACAATTCAGCTTCCATTAGAGCATCCTGAGTTATTTGGCTCTGGTCTCAAAAAACGAAGTGGTATCCTTTTATATGGTCCCCCTGGTACAGGAAAGACATTGCTTGCCAAGGCAATCGCTACATCCTGCTCTCTCAACTTCTTTTCTGTCAAAGGCCCTGAGCTTTTGAACATGTATATTGGTGAATCTGAAGCGAACGTTCGACGTGTGTTCCAACGAGCTCGTGATGCTAAGCCATGTGTTATCTTTTTTGATGAATTGGACTCTGTTGCACCTAAGCGTGGTGAAAAGGGTGATTCTGGTGGTGTCATGGATCGTATTGTCAGTCAACTGCTTGCTGAATTAGACGGTATGAGCGAAGGAGGAGAAGAGGCCGGTGTGGGCGATGTCTTTGTTATTGGAGCGACCAACAGACCAGACCTTTTGGATCCTGCATTGTTACGTCCGGGAAGGTAAGAGGCAACTATATAAAATGTACAAGGTATTTATGCTTCCGAAATGTAGATTCGACAAGCTACTCTATTTGGGTGTAAGCCAGGACCATGAATCACAGCTAAAGATTATTGAAGCTCTCACGAGAAAGTAAGTGATCCGTTTTTATGCCTTTTTGTTGGTTATCTAATTTGTAATATAGATTCCGTCTTCATCCAGATCTGGACCTTCGTAAAGTTGCAGAGCGATGTCCATTCCATTACACAGGCGCCGATTTCTACGCTCTCTGTTCTGATGCCATGTTGAAGGCTATGACACGTGTAGCCGAAACAATTGATGCTAAGGTAAACAAATTGAACGAAGAAAAGCGACCTGATCTTCCCGATCCTGTTACGACACAGTATTATCTGTCACATTTGGTTACACCTGAAGAAACTACGGTTCAAGTACAAGAGGTTGACTTTATTAAGGCTCTAGAAGAACTTGTTCCTAGTGTTTCTGCTACTGAACTTGAACATTATTCTAAAGTTAGAGAAAAGTTTGAAAAAGATAATTAAAAGTGTACGCCCTCCCTTAATGTTGTGTAAATATTCAGGCGTAGCTATATAAACTTTGTATTTTTATTTTCAATATAAAAAGGAATAAAAAGACAATAGATCAAGTCAATAATATATTTATTTATTAAAGCATCCTCAAAAGAGAAGGAAAAAGAAAAAATGTCAGCAACAATGCCAAAAGTCTTTTAAAGGTTCTGATTGCTGCTGTAACGACATTCTTCAGGTCAGCCATTGACCATTAGAACAAGGGACCAGGCACCCATAAAAACCATCAAACCATCAAATATAATTAAAAAAGACATTTACAAAAGATTCTCTTTGAAAAATGTAAGGATTTGACTTATATATTTATGTATATGAGGTATACGCTAATGAGAATAGGAAGAGCGGGTATTCTTAAAGATCGTTTCAGTAAATAAAAACGTGATCTCATAAGTAAAAGCTGTTCGTAAAGCATCAGGATCTTTCTGAGAGTGGAATGTTTTAAGAAATAGTATGTACTCTAATTGTACCAAGGAACAAATTGAGCTACATCATTAGCTTCTTTTTTCTTTCATAAAAGCACGTAAAGACAAAGGAGTGTGGAGGGCACTTATGTCATGACTTCTTTAACGTCATGCAAAATAAGTGACTTAAATAGAAAATTCATTCCATTTTAGGTTATTTCCATTATGTCACAGTGATGCATAGTGTATATATCAAAAAATATAAATATAAGCTCTAGGGCAAACTCTTTATATACATTTATTAACAGAATGAACAACACTCAAGATACTCACACTTTACCCAAGCACGAAAATCACCAAAATATTGAACTTCGACCTCATACCCACCTACATGAACAAGCTATTAAGGGTCATCAAACCAATAGTACTATCGCTGGACCTAATGGAATACAAGAAGGTATTGTCAATCAAGGGCTCGCTCCTACAGATAACAGTCATTGTAAGTGAATACATATGGAGAGCATATATACATAAATCTAATATTGCGGTCCATAGTGAAACAACATAATCCTAATGGCCAATTAAAACACAATGAAAACCACACTCACCAACGCATTGATACTGATGCAGATACTATTCATCCTCTACAGGAAACAGAGAACGAACTTAATACCTCATCTAACGAACAACAACCAAATACCCATAATGAAAAAGATGCGGCTGGGCTTGCGCAAGATATGAAAAATCCAAATAATAACAATTCAAACACCAACAAGAAACCAAGTATTTCGTTCAATGAACCTTCTACTCATGCCTCTATTGTTCAAGATACTGGTCATGCAAACAAGGCAGATAATGAAAGATATAACAGAGACGCTGCTGCTGCTGCCGGTACTAGAGGTGAAGCGACTGGTACTGCTGTTGATAGTGCAATGACCGAACACAAGCCAGGTGATAATGAGAAAGGCGATAAAGAAATGAAGGACGGAGTAAAGCATGCACCAAAACCAAAGAACACGGGAGGCGATGCTCATCATATAGCAGAGCAGGAACCCATGGGCTTAGGAGGACTCACAGGCAAGCAGCCAGTAGGTGAAATCAACTTTAAGACATTGTAAATACACAGTTGTAAATAAAAATAGTGGAGGAGAAATAAATACTTTTATTATGTCTATAATACAATTTCTTTGAAAACATTATGCATTTCTAAGGTCATCCATGCGTTCCTTTAAGCGCTCATAAGAGGGTGTATCTTCAAATATATCCTTGACTTTGCCCATTAAGCCTTTGAGGATAAGACGAGCTTGATAACGCCAGTCAGAACAGACAGGAGCACCATCTTGCGTTTTATCACCTAGGTTTTCATACATGTCTACGGTTTCAAGTGCAACCGTTGTAACGTCTTCAAATACACTTTCTTCAGTTTCAATGCGAGGATCATGCATGACAGAGCGGTAGGCCTTCACAGAGGTGTCAAGAGCGTCCGTATACCGTTTTTGCCATAAGTAAAATTTGGCACAGATCATCCAAATATCCGGTGAGTTTGTAATCCTGCTCAAGATAACGTCCTCCAGTAGGCGCTGAACATGGACCGACAAACGCGCACCATCTCTATCATGAGGGTCTTTCCAGTTTTGGACAACGTTTTCGACAATCATACGAAGTACACCGACATCAACAGCACCATCACGTACCTTATCCCATCGAAGTTCAACCACACGCTGCATGGCGTAGATGGCATCTGCAAATTGGCCAATATCAATCGAGACAAACAACAAGTTTTGCCACATTCTCCAATCGTCAAACTTGATTTTGGTAGCGCGCTTCAGCGCCAAAAAGGCGTCTGGCTTTTTATCCGTCTTGACGTAGATGCTTGCCAAGTTGTTCCATGCCTCTGCATTTTCGTCGTCCAAAAGAGTCACACGATGAAAGGCACGGATACCAACGTCCCACTTTTCGACCACCATAGAGGCACAGCCAAGGATGTACCAGGAACCTTCAAAGAGTGGATTGATCTCAAGTGCCTTTTGATAGTACTCGATCGCGGCTTCATAGTTTTGTTGCTTGAATTCATAGGAGCCTAAGCTACGCATGGCACGGGCATAGCGATGATTGGAAATCTCCCATGATTTTTTCCAATGAGCTGGTTCAAGTTCGAGGTCACCAAGGATACACCAGTACTTGGGCGAGTTAGGATTTTCCTTCATAAGTCGCTCTAATACACTCTTTGCCTTTTGTGGTTGTTCCATCATTTGATAGCACGAAATCACATCCTCCCACATCTCAAGTCTTTCAAAGATTTCAACGGCTGAGCGAAGAACACCTAATGAGACAAAACGACGGGCCAGTTCACGTTCCATTTCCCATTTACTAGGCAACAGCAAGTCGTAAAAGTAAGCCAGTCGTTCTTCCACCTTGGAGTCTTCTACCTTGATTTGATCAACGAGCGCCTGTAGCTGAAGGGCAGAACGCTCGACTGTACGGCCCTTGTTGGATTCTAGACGAGAACGCAGCAGGAGACCCATGGTATGTACCATCCAGTTATTAGCATTCTCAAGCACACGGGTAACGTAAGGAACCATCTGTTCGGTCGTGATACCATGATCAGGGTTGGTATTTTTGACGTTTAAGCAAAATGCAAGTAAGAGACATTGGTCGATGATGTTCAAGTTACCATGACGCTGATCACTTTCTTTCTTGTTCTGCTCATTTTCTGCAAAGTTGATTTTTTCCAAAATAGTATCATCATTTAGGTCCAATGTCTCTGGCTTGGCTGCATCCTCGTCTACCTTTTCTTCTCTTTTGCTTTCAGCTAAAACAACCAGTTGAGAGACGTCAAATGTCTGAAATTTTGTACGACGACCCAAGGCACCTGTCAGGGACCAGACAAAGCCGGATTCCTTTTGTGCTGACTCCATTCGTTGCAAGGCTTCCTTATCCTGACCGTAATAATTGTGAATCAAGCCTGCTTCCAACTGCTGACGCACTTTGAGAGCACCACTAGACTCTTTATAGTCTTCAATCGCTTTGGCGCTTTTGTTTTCCAGCATTGATAACTCGGCTTGAAGTGTACCCGTGTGTTCATCCAGGAGCTGTTGTTGAATAAAGGCAGCGCGCATGGACCACAGAGAGCCAGTCAAGGTATCTTGACATACGTTTGAAAGTAACACACGAGCAACGGCCAATAGTCCAAGTTGCTGAGTCAGATGATATACTTCTTCACTGTCAACTGAAAGGGACTGAAGACATGCCTTATGTATCTCTGCTTCAAGCTGTTCATCCTTTTGGCTGCAGAATAGCTCAGAAATGGTAAAGGAAGGTATGGGACCTGTCCAATTGATTTGTACAAACGTGTTGAGACAAGCAATACCAGTGACCAATACTTGAAATCGCACAGATTCGTCTTGAATATTTAAAGTTAAAAGCTTGTCATTGACCCATTGTTGAATGTCATTAACGGTGCTGCCTTGAGCATTTTGGAATAGGATGCTGTTTTTTATTATTTTTGCATATTCGCCCTTTTGAATATCGGATATGAATGAAGTATAGTTATCGTTCAACGAGTATTCGGTCCCAAGGACAAGACACTCTTCAGCTTTATAAAAGGACATGAGGTTGAAAGAAAAGGGAGAGAGAGAGACACTTTTTTTCTTTGCATATATATGTCAAAAAGGAGGGGAACACAAGCCACACTGGTTTAATTTGTAAGCTGATTGTTCAAAGACTCTTATGGAAAAAAAAATATTTGACTTGCAGACAAAGAAAAAGAGAGGAGCTTGATTTGTTTTTCTCTTTTGAATTCAAAAGACAAAGGTGCGATTGTTACCAGAAAACAAATTTGAAAAGCTTTTGTCCCTTTTATAAAAGCACTACCTTGCCCTAAAGACAAGGAAAAACTAGCTATTTTGATTGTGTCAGGAAAATGCTACACTTTTATTTCAATCGGAGACTGTATTCAACAAAGAAAGACAAGCTGTGACTTGTAAAAAGGTGATCTTTTTTATATAAAAAGTGAGGAGAGAGAGAAAAAGGGATAACCGTTTCTTTTTTTTTATATATATATATGTCAACTTTTTACTTGTATACCATTTTGTTTATTCTCATCATGTCATTTTTTTATTACAGTCCAAATAAGCTCATATCCTATTTATTTAAAAATACACAACGCATAAGAGTAAATTGTTGGTACTGTAACACGGATGCCATCCTAGACTTGAGTTCAGGCGGATCAGCCAGATATTGGATATGTCAAAGGTGTGAAAGTGAGAATTTTAGAGATGAGGTAACAACAATTATATCTATTTCACTCTTTAACTAATATCATCAAAGCAAGGGCAAGTGATGGACCCCATTGTTCCCTCAAAATGCACGAAACCACCAAAAAGTAAGGGGGAACATTGTTACAATACACAAGCTTATTGATGACTTTTCATAGTAACGGATTATAGACCCTATATATCAGATCCAAACAAGCCGACACTTTGCAATGAATGTCAAAAGGCTCAGGCACTCATATTATATCTATCAGAAGGATTTATTCCAGATGATGAAAATGTAAGACTTGATGTTTATCTGTGACCCTATGCTGATATACAGTTGTCAATTAGGAATTTGATTATAAGGAAAGATGTCAGCAGTACTTGTCACATAAAAGATACCTTGATGATAGATATGATCTATGCCAAGAATGTCATGATGAAGTTGCAGCGTACCTTGAACAACAGACCCAGCAATTTGGACCAGCAAGACTATACGAACCAAACGAAGACGCCATTCCACCCCCAGAACCACAAGATACATTCATGGTCAAAGAGTGCAACCGTAATAGATCAATGACCAAATTCAAGCTACAACGGCTGTTTTGGATATCGATGCATGTATTTACTCTACTCTACCTTTATTACGGTAAGATAGTATGCCATTATTATTTTCATTCATTCTTTGCTAATGAGACTATTGCTTTTGTTAGTCACTTGTTATCCAGCAGCAATTACAGACCATAACCCGTTTTCTATCAGCATAAAGAGTTACATTGCTCAAGCATATCACACCTATAAAGAAACAAATACCTGGAATGAATGCATTTGGCTATTTATCAACTACATCAAGAGCATTATCCCAAGATACTACAACTTCCACCGCGCTCTCTTTGTATGTTCTCTAGGAGAACGTTTTCACGAGGGCGATTGTACTCGTATAGATACCCCTAATGGCGGCACTGAGTTCTTCCTGTACCATCTAGCTTCATATTACGGAGTAACATGGCATGTGTTTCTGTATAAGGCCTTTTGGGAAACACACCGTTATCACTACTGGAAGCTCTACTCGGCAAGTTCAATTTATATACTATAGCTTACGTTTTTGCTAACATCTAGTTTAGTTTGCTCAACATGTCTTGTTCTTGTTTAGAACTTCTCTCTTCTTTTATCCACCAACATACATTTTACGTAAACCAGTGTATTTTATTGCTGTTTACTTGGCTGTAAGTTAATCACACAATAGTCTCGCCATGCTAAACTAATGAATATATAGGTACTGTTTATACCATTCTTCATTATTAGAATTCGGAAAGGATACGAATATTTCTTTACACCAGTGAATGTTAGAAGATATCCCTCCAACGAGCCATACAATTTACTTCAAAGACAAGTAAGCTTAGACACATCTGATCTAAAGATAAGGCGAAGAAGAAAGACTGATCAAGTAAAAGAAAAAGAAAGCGTGTTTGATGACAAGCCCAAGAGAACTGATATGGACATGTTACGTTTAAATATGCGTTTCAATTATTTGAGAATAGACGAGAGAAAGGAAAGAAAAGAAGTAAGATTCAATGATCTCTTTTAAAAATAAAGTTTCTATTGTATCTTGAATGCCAAATCTGTCAGTCTTTATCGTCATATGGCACTCAATTAATGAAGCTCACATATGTAATTCTTTAAATGCAAATCACTACGCTGAACAGTATTTTGTTGACTATGGGCCAAACAATTGTTCAATAGGATTTAGCTCAGAGTAAAACGCATCGATGCCCCCTTTTATCAATGATCAACTTGTTGATTTCTCCATCAGTATGGATAGAAAGCATTCTCCATAATGATATAAAAACACCTTTTAATTCAGGATATTCGACCTAGTTGATTATAGAGTTCCTCCTTTGGAGATTTGGTAGTGCCCATAGTTCCTCGCCTTATCACCCTTCCCAACGATTTTAACAACTATCTGGTGTAGTCCTCTCATTGCCCAACAGGAGAGCGGAGTGACTACACTCGGAGCTCTCGTGACTTGCTTTATTCTACCCAACTTTTTTGAGGCAAAGAAAAAAAAAAAAGGACCTTTTTTTGTAAAAAATACTTTTTTGTACATAAATCATGGGAAGGTAAAATAATATAAAAGAGATCAATAAGGAAATCAATATTTATATTACTAGACTTCGCCGTAAGAGAACGCACCACAGCATCCGAGACAATTACCGTAAACAACGTACTCGTGCTTATACAAGAGATCTTGATCAGATCCATGACGATTTAAAACCTGATAACTATGAAAAAATGAAGCATCAAGAAGTTGATACCGACTTACCAGGACTTGGACAGCATTATTGCGTAGAGTGTGCGTAAGTATTTGCTTATATATATATATATATATATGTACTTGATGACAAACCTTTTCTTTCTATAGACGTCATTTCATTTCAGATTCCCATTTACAAGAGCATTTAAAGAGCAAATTACATAAAAGAAGACTCAAGAAATTAGAAGAAGAACCATATACACAAGAAGAGGTAATATAATAAAGAGATGTATGTGTACTGTGATATTAATGATGGTCATATAGGCTGATCGGGCAGCAGGTATTGGTAAGCCTGATAATGGTAAACGAGGAGGTAGATTAAGAATGACAGATGATGATGTGACAATGGAAGAGTAACAGGATCAATAATAATGCATTTGCTTTTTCTCTTTTTTCTCTTTATATATAAATATTATTCATTCATTTCTGTGCGCAAACATACAAGGGCTTTATTTTTGTGGATAATTCGATAGTTTACCTCCTTGATTGACATATTCTTCTAAATAATATTTAAAGCTATTAAACACTTCCTCAGATGTAGTATCTCTTGCATAACAATCTACAAATTTGCCTTCTGGATCCATCAAATAGAGAAAGATGGAGTGATCGACGAGATAATCATCCTCTGGCTTTGCATTAGGTGGTGTGTATGAATATACTCTAAATGATCTTGCTACTCTTTTCAATTCATCTTTATCGCCTGTAAATCCAATCAGGTCTGGATGAAAGTCCTTGACGTACTCTTTGACAGCTTCAGCTGTATCTCGTAATGGATCACATGTGATGAATACAGGTACAAGTACGTCCTCTCCTATCTCTTGCTTGATCTTGTCTGTTACTTCAGCCATCTTATCCAATTCTTCAGGGCAAATATCTGGGCAGTGTGTAAATCCAAAATAGACTATGTAATAACGTCCTTTGAAATCATCTGAGCTAGTTACTCTATCTTCATTGACATTATAAAGTTTAAAAGGACTGCCAATATTCGGTCGACCAAAGCTTTTGATCTTTTCTCTTTCTCGCTTTTCACCTTTTGCCAATAGTTATGTTATTGCTTTGAATGAAAAAAAAAAAGGTTGAACCACTTACGCATGAGTCGTAATTTTTCTTTCTCTTGTCTAAAATAGACTACCAGTCCAACAGCTGTGGCACCTAACACAGCAGCAGATTTCCAAGTAAACATCTAAATGAACAGTCAATCACTTCTCTCTGTATCTATATTATACAAGCAACACGTACCTTAGGTTGAGATGGAGGTGTTGTTGTTTGCTGTGTTGCATAAAAACGTTTATAATGTAGTCTTGTTGTACTGCGTGTGCATAATGTAGCAGGCTACAACAAAAATAAGTCTCTCCTTTATTAACTAATGACAATTATTTACTTTTACATAACACCTTGTTGTTAACCTTGACAAGAATGACATTCAAGAAAAAAATAAAAGTAATGAACGCCCTTGTCAAAAGAAAAAAAAAGTACTATCGGAGTTGTAGTCATTCGGATAAACTCAACATCACTATTTTATGACCACACCTTAAAGACATCTGTCACCAATAATCAAGCAAGCTACTTTATATATTTCTATTGCATTCCCCTATAAACCACACAATAGTTATAGATGACCGAGATTGAAGTACAGTGTTTCTACTTCAAATTCAGACGAAGTTAGTTTTTTTTTAGACGAATCAATATAGTTTAGGATTCGCTTACCCATTTTGGATAAATCGTAAAAGGAAATTCAGATAAAATAGGAAATTAGTTTTGAGACTAATCGTTCAGGCATTTTCTTTTACCTGTAATAATATAAATTCCTTTTGCAAAAAAAAAAAAAAACCGTGTTTAATACGGCGATTTGTGAATTAAATATGAGTGTAACCTTTGAAATAAGCTTCAGACCTATCCAAGCCTTTCGAGATTACAAGAGAGATTTTCATCATATTCTTTATCGCGTTGATATCGCGTTACCATAATATATTACATATTTTACAAACAAGTACATTACTGCCATTGACGCCACTTACGCTATTCAAAGTATCAGTCTCACACCAACAACAATTTCTTGAATTTTTGAGCTCATCAATTGGCACAACAAGAAGGTCACCAGCAGCTTCTCTCTTTTTCAAGTAGTGCCACATGATACCAGCTGCACCGCGACATAAGCCTTTCAATTTCACTATATCTTTTCCGAACATACCATTCCCAAAGACAACAAGTAGAATTTTGGGTCTATCTTCTTCTTTAAATTTCAAAAGTTTCCATTTATTTCTCCTTGTAAAGTATATAAAGTGAGTAGGTGTATACTAACACATAAAACTGTAGTTATGAATTTGCTTTCTGTACTGCTGTTGCCTATTCTTTTCTTTCTTCTTTTCGTTTTTATGCAATCGCTTCTTTCTTTTATTTTTTCGTTTTTCTTTTTTGTTCTTCTTTTTAAAATGCTTTTTTCCTATTGTATTTTGCACTGCCATTTAATAACATATTAACCATCATTTCGGGAGCCCTTTGTTTGCCTTGGTATTGATTAAACCGATATTTAGCAGTACTAAAGCCATAAAAAGTGAACAGCCTGTCCATGTTTGGAAGCATGTAATCCGCAAACCATAGAAAAGAAATACTCCTAGCAGTTTTCGCTGTAGGTGTAGCAGCCTCAATTGCAGTGATACCTGCCGTGTCCTTCGCTTGTTACAACTTCTTTGCATACACTGTGGAACCTGTTAAATGATAATACTCCTTCGTAATACAGCGCCTTATTTCATGCTGGCCTCCATCTAAACCCATAGCAACCGTATAGACTGCTTTTCTACCGGGGCCTAGAAAAATTGTCCTATATAATTGAATAACTTCTTCTATTGAAAAGTCACCAACACCCAAGCCATGATTTTGTATCAAGGTAACATCTCCGTTTTCGCCAAATGTCCTTCTGTAAAATATGAAATCTATGCAAAATCCATCAGATTTGACAATGTTGCCAAAGAGCACCTTATTTTCTTCATTGGGTATCAATTCTTCCATTCTATACATAGCCAAAGTTAGTTCATACATTTCCCTTAATTGTATTCCAATAAAATGCTTTTACCTTTTATCCACGTTCTTCAACACGCTAAAGTTGAGTACTCTTCGAAATAATTTAAGTTGATTGACATAGCCCCTTGGTAATCGTTCCCTCACAAAAACAGAGAGCGCATTTGCACTAATGTTCACAAATCGTCAGTGTACTGACAGTTTTTGTAAAATAATAAACAATCTTGGAAGAGGAAGGCGCCGAACATCGAAAAGTTGGTGCTGAGAGTGTTCGTCTTCGTATTGGTTCAAAATATATTCAAGGCATTTATATGCTCTTTCGGGAGCAGAGAATACAGTAATAAGTGATACTCTTTGATTAATCAAGACTCTAATTGGTTTGTATCCTTGGTTCACAGGGTCTCTTAACCTATCCTCTGTTAAATTTGCTGATAAAACTGCATTGCTTGGCCATATTGGTTGGCATACATATTGATAGCAGTAGCCTTTAACAATTATTTTAAGACTTTTAGGATCCATTGACTAACAAGTAGATACTACTTTTTAGAAAAAAAAAAAGCAATTCTTATATCCATCACTTACCATGAAGATGTTTTTAAGACGATAATACAAAAAAGATAAAAGACGTGATTCAAAATGTCCCACCATGTTATTATGATAACTAGTAACCAGCTCCGTGCATGCCTTCGCCAAGCATCGCGAAGTTCCTCCTGCAATTTGTTGATGGTATACGATAGAATTATATTGGGATTGGAATACGTTCCAGACTGCCACCATGTTTGGTGGCATATGTGTGCTGATTGTAATTTCCTTTGCATTAACCAATTTTTTTTTTTTGCAGCTTTTTTATCTTGTTCGATACTGTCGCTTTGTTTTCTTTTTTTACCTGATGCTCTAACTTTTGGGGGGTCAAAGAATGTTAGTAGGCAAGTCTTAAAAGACCATGCAATATGAGGATTTATCATCATCAGCACTAGCTGGCTTGTAAAGTTTTGATGCAAAGCTTTCATCTTACTTAAAAAATGCGTTGAATAAAACAGCGTATAGAAGCACTCTTTGATTATGTTAGCAGGAAGTATGTATTTACCTTCGCCTGGTGCTGCAGCTGAGGCCTTTTTATCTTTGACAGAACGAATTTTGTTTAGTATTATTGCTTTGTACATTGTCTTTTTTTATATTGTGGGAAAAAGAAAGAGGAAAAGCTCGTTCTGTTATGATGATTGATCTATTAATTAGAGTTCAATTGATATAGTATTTGCTTGGAAAAGTATTCTAGTTATCATCAGATCTTATAGCTTATAAACAGTTCTACTATTGGTTTAGAAATTCGAGAGAATTAAGTTATAAGAGCTAAAGTTGCCGACTACCATAGCTTGCAGAATACATAATGGGGTGATTGTACATTATTTTTATATATAATGGTGCATATCTTTATTCATATGTGGTTTCTTAACAATAAAAATTAGATCGTTTGTGTGGTTTTGACTTCCGGTGATGAATCCATCTATGTATAGACTTTTGGATGAAATGAATCTCTTTTAAAACCTTTATTAAAAATGAGAGTAGATTCATTCATTTACATGAAAGAGGCTGGATTAGATTGCTATTAAAATGGAACGTTTCTCTAGCTCAAGTGATGGTTTTCTCACCTTTAAAATAAGTTGTCTGAACATAAACTTCTTTACATTTGAAAACTAATTTCCTATTTTATCCGAGTTGCCTTTTAAGGTTTATCCAAAATAGGTAAGCAAAGCCTAAAATTACATTTTGATTCGTCTAAACAAAAGCTAACATCTTCTGATTTTGAAGTAGAAACAGAGTACACCATTTCTAGAAAGAGATGTCGCGCTGACTTGTCGCTTTTTCATATAAGTTGTATTATAGAAATTGCAAAAATGCAACTTTACTTTCTGAAAAGACTGTATTACAAAATAAATCCCAGTAGCCAATCAAATGCTCAAGCGGCGCAAAACTAGGAAGGTCTAGCATTTGGTGAAATGGAAAAAAAAGGGTAGGAACCAAGCTTTTTTTTTTCTTGTTTATTTTTTTTTCTTTTTTCTTTTTTCTTTTTTTCTCTCTCATTCTTTTTATATATACTTCTTTCTTTTTCTCTTTTCTTTTTTTTTACATTTTATCCAAGTAGCTTAACTGATTATTACATTTTAAATAAAGGGGAAAGAAAAAAAAAAAAAGAGAATGAACTTGAACGAAAAGCTGAGTGATCAGTCAAACGATATTCAAGATAAAGAAAAACAACAACCTGTTCGACCCCAGCTCAGTTATCTAAGAACAGCATGGACTTCATCAGAAATATACAGAGCAACATTAAAGACACCTGAACCTAACCAACAAGAGGATCCATTGACATCAAGAGATGATGCCGCTTTTAAATTACAACTACCACGCATTTCAATATCTGAAGACACTGACCAGGATGAGATTGTTGGACAAGTATTTCAAATGATTCTTGTTGCTAATGTCTTGTGTTGGTGTGAATCTATACTGACCACAATCATTGTCCTTTATACAACAGATGACTGGTGGAGACATGCCATCTTACCTGTCTATATTGTATGGTGGAGTATCATGATACTTGTACTACAACACAATACGGAATATGTATTCCAATATATCAATTGGACACAATCAAGCACAGTCATCATGGCTGCTAGTCACTCCGTTATGCTTCATAATCCATATTATGTACTCGCGTTCTTGCCTTGGGTGTCCTTCTTGTTGTACACGTTTGCCAGACGCATCTTGATCGCACATGAAACACGTTCTAAACGACTAAAACAACATTTACAGTCAGAACAAGAAAAAATGCAAACCAAGGTAGACGAAACGATGAACGAGTATAGGGATCATCAATTGACGTTTATGAAAACTGTGTCTCAAGAAATACAAGATGTTGCCCTTATGGTCATCACCACGCTCGAGCAGTTCTCACCTACTGCCATCCTATTCAATACACATGAGTTGCTAAGTGCATGCTCTTTGGCGATACCAACAGCTAGTGTCTTTGCTATCAATACAACCATACGACAAGTATGTCACGTTAGCTCTCATTTACACTTACTGTCTCGTCTAGTGTGGCAAGCTTGGCCGCGTACGAATAGCAATCTGATAGACAACACATTACCTGAGCTTGTGACGAACGAGTTTGATATAGGCGAGTTATTACAAAACATTGGTGATGCCATGGCAGGTGTGGCAGCCAAATTGGACGTTGAGTTTGTAATTTATCACTGTGAGAACAATCTTCATCATACAATGGTCATTGGCGATGAAGGTGCTATCCGACATGCATTAATCAATGTAAGATAATACCCTTTTAACGAATACGAAATTCATATGACTTTGATCTATAGCACCTGCGTAATATACTCGAATGCTGTACTCCTGGTGCTTGCATTGAGGTTGGACTTAATGTGGCGGTTATCACGGATTCAAACAACTTGAACATCACCTTCCAGGTCACCCACACAGCTTCACCTGCTATTCGTAATACCAGTGCTGCACTATTACCCAATGCCAACCTGACCGCGCAGCTCTTATCTTATATCCATGCGACAACGACCGTCGAGACGCACAAAAACCAAACAAGATTTGAATTTACATTTGAACTTGAAAGCGGGCGTGAAGAAAACCGAAAACTGTTTATAAGCAAGGAAACTATGCTACTGAAAAACCATTATGCCAACATTAAATTTTCCAACGAGCCTAGCCTGAAGGAACTCACCAAGTTTATTGACAATTTGAAGGGACTCAAGATCGTTCTACATGCGCGCGAAAAGAGCAGTTTTGCCAAACACCTCACAGGCTGTCTGGCGAGCTGGAATACAGACATCAGCCATGTTCCTGTCGTCCAGCGTCCTCAGTTTCAGCAACACGATGACACAGGATCAGAAACCGACGTATCGACCACATCTTCCACAACATCCATCATGCCACCTCGAAGCAACACCAGTGCGGCGACAACACCTCCTGTACCTTCACCAGCAATTGAAGAAGAACACATTCACTCTATTCCTCCTTCCTTCATCTTGATCGATGACGATGTTCTCACACTGGAAGGCAAGCTGAACGAATTCCGTGCTCAGCCACCGGCATCGGCCAATGTCTTACATGTCAAACGACACCATCAGCACAAGAAATCCAGTCTGTACCAAAACTTTTTCCACCAAGGCACCACTGCCATCATCCATTTCACCTCGCTTTCCAACTACAAGGCGGTCCGAGATACCATCCAGTGCTTCACGTTCTTGCCGAACCGTGATCCCTTTTCGATGCCCCGTGTCGTCGTCGTACCCAAACCTGCTGGTCCGCGTCGGTTCTTGACGGCTCTGCATACCGCATGGAACAATGCAGTAGTCGAACCCCACTTTTCAGCCATTGCCACGTCGCCCTCGAGCCCCGTGCCCCCGATCGTTTCGTTGTTGGTTCAGAGGGAGCTGGCTGCAAATAGTCCTAATTCGAATTCTGCAGTGACGTCGCCTAGTCAAGAAGGTAATAATAGGTCATCCCCTGGTGCTGCGAATGATGCTGCGAGCACGACGACGCGTCGTAGACCCTTGAGTGGCATATTCAGTCCACCGAGCGATAACAACAGTCATTACTTTGCAGCTCATCATCAACAACAACAACAGCAGCAGCAACAGACGGCGAGCTCGCCTCGACGTAAATCCAATACGGATCAGCCTATGGATTACTTGACGGCCAAGCCGACTGGATCTCCCAACAATCCAAACTTATCACCGCGTGAAATCGTGACGAATGTGGCAGGAGACATGTGTGATCAGAAAGCAAGTTCGCCTAATACATGCCCTGCAGTGCAAGAACAAAAGGACGACGAGGTCAAGGAAAAAAAGATGTCGAGGACCATGTCCAACTTTAAATTGCACAAGAAAAAGAAGAAAGATAAAAGAACGCCATTTGGTAACGTCGTCAGTCCTCCAATTAACGTGCTGATTGTAGAAGGTAAAACGCTTATATACATCTCTAATGTGTAGCCATTCATTCTTTGTGATAGACAATATCATCAATCAAGCCATCTTGTCTGTATGGATGAAAAAGCATCAGATCAAATTTTCAGTGGCCAGTAATGGATTAGAGGCAGTAGACAAATGGAAGAGTGGCAAGTTCCATCTGATCTTGATGGACATTCAGTTACCGGTGATGAACGGTATCGAAGCAACCAAGACGATTCGTTCGATTGAAAAGGAACAGAGGATTGGTGTCTTGCCTATGTCTTCCTCCTTTTTACGTCAGCAACAGGCAGTGGCAGCAGCAGCAGCAAATACGATTATGAATGAACAACAAGAGGAGGACTTACCGCCGATGTTGAGCGAAGAGGACAAGCGTGTGACACCTTCCATATTCCGGTCACCCGTGATCATTGTTGCTCTGACAGCCTCGTCATTGGAGTCTGACCGTCACGCGGCGCTTGCTGCCGGATGTAATGATTTCTTGACGAAGCCAGTGAGTTTGGAATGGCTTGAAAAGAAGATCATCGAGTGGGGATGTATGCAGGCACTGATCGATTTCGAAGGGTGGCGACGATGGAAGAAGACGGCTGAACCGAAAAAACCAAGTACGCCCAAGGTGACGACACCTACCGCGACAGAGGAAATGGAGGCAGAAAAGAAACGAATTGAAGAGCTCAGTAAGTCGCCTAATCGGACGGGTATCATGCTTCCTGGTGTGGGTAATCTGGTAAAATCCAGAAGACTGTCCTCAGTCGATCGTCATACATTAAAGGCGTCCAAGAGCGATTCAGATACACAGTCTGCAAATCAAGTGCAGTTACGACCTTCGTCGTCAGCATCCACAGCGTCATCAAGATCAAAGAAAGATTGTGATGATGAAGATAGCAATTCGTTGAAAAAGGCTATAAGGTCCAAGGGACAGCAAATGTCGATGTAAATAGTTTTTCACCCCCAAAAAAACCTCTCAGAAAGATGTACTAATAAATAATAATCACACAAGTCTCTCCCCCCGGTTTTACACAATAAGAACTTTGTGATCCCTCTCTTTAATAAATATATTTATTTTATTTACAAATTTCTGCGACGAAATAAATAGGTAATTACAATGTTTGAATGCTTTGTCTTCTAGCGTCAATGGCATGCATATCAGGTACGCCAAGTTCAGCCTATGACTCTATATTAGACGTGTTCACAATAAGGATTCATTTACCTTGCTCTCGTTATCTCGTAGTAGAACATCTTCGGTACTTTCGCCGCACTGATAAAATCCGCATTTTTGCTGACAAAGATATAGGTTGGTTTCTATACTCTTGTGTTTCCTAATGTTGCTTACCTGAGTCCATGCAGATCCACACTTCCAACAGAACCGATAACCGCACTGTAAGCAGTCTACTTTATTACATCCTTCGTCTCGATTGATCATGACCGAACAATTTGGACAAGGTCGGCTATAATATAACATTTAAAAAAACTACACTTATGTGTACACAAGCTTATATCTTTACGTATTATTGAGTTTCCATTGAATAGTCGAAATCAGTTCCGCATCTGTTGATCTCTTTAGCTTAGCCTTTAAATAATCCAAGCAGCCTAGTCCGAGATGTGCCGTTTCTCCGCATTGAAGGCATAACGTATCACCACAATTCATGCTGACCAAGGTGTATTAGAAAAAAAAACTTTTTCAAAGACCGATGTTAACATTTACCAGATTTCCATGGGGAAATAGGAGATGTGTCTAAACTGAGCATGTTTCCAAGCTTCAGGTATAATCTCCAAGGCGACCAATTGCTTTGATATGGATGATGCCAGACAGTAGAGATCCATTTGGTTTAAGACGACTTGATGAAGGATGGGTATGACTTGATGGCAAAGCTCCTGTGTGCGTCCCACGCGGAAAGTCGATCCTTTTTGGCAAGTTGACAAGAAATGCTGAGTTGCTTCATGAATGAGAATAGAGAGTGATGTGTTCTTTGCTGATTTTGAAAGCAAATCCAAATCATTTGCTATATTTGCAAGCCGACTTTGATGTCAAGGCATATGTTAAATGTTGTTGTTGTTGTCATGCTCTTTTTTTTTTTTTTTTTTTTCTTTACCTTTCTCGAGATATCCCTTGCGCGTTAGGAGACTGACAAGGTGAGATTGAATGTTGGCAAGTGATACAGTATCGAGAGTAAGGTCTATAGGGCTGATTGTATTTATTGTATTTTGCCACAATCTCTGGTGACACATATCGGCTCCATTCTGCCTGGTTTATGATTTCTTGGCACACTTTATAGCAGAATTAGTTTTTTATTGTCAAGTTTTGATTGTAATATTTCCATACCTGGACATTTGATACGGGTCACCCCTAGGCCCCAGGATTGGTTGACAGTTTCTTCGATATACCTAAATTAACAATGAGTGGCGCTCTCCTTTTTTCCAATGGGTAAAACCATTTTACCTTGAAAAGCAATCTTTACAGAATTGGTCACGGCATGACTCTAAGCATAAATTGTATGTTTGATCAAGACATATTGAGCATCTTTGTAGCCAAAAGTACATATTATTCATTTCATCTTCGGTCTTTGTTGTTTTCTTGGGTGCGAGTGGATAATGGTGATGGGAAGAAATCAATCTGTATACCCAACCAATGATAAATGATAGTGTTCGTAAAAAGATGGCAGGCATTAATAAAGTTGGGCAAAATAAATAAAAAAAGGGTAGACAATAACAAAATAATATATTGAAAATATTGAATTTAGATATAATCTCTTTCATCTGTTGCCAATAGCTTTTTTCCATAGTGATTGTTGCTATAGTGAAAAAGAAAAAAAAAAAAAAGAAAAAAGTGGTAAAGAAATGAATTTATAAATGCCTGCAATTTTTCTATGGGAAATTGTTCAATGACCGCCGTGTCGACTTTTATGCAAATGATGTAATATGTATATTTTATTTACTAACAGAATATAACAGAGTATGTACACACGGACAATAGACAACTTTTAAGAAATAATAACAAGAGAGAGGGAAAGTAATATACAATGTGTATTTTAGTAAAAGCCATTCAATTCGGCTGGTATTTGTTCAAAGTTATGATGGTTATTAATTAAAGATATTGATTGTTGTTGTTGTTGTTGTTGTTGCTGCTGCTCTTGTTTCATCATTTGTTCAGCCGCCTTCTTTTGTGCCTCTCTTTCTTTCTTTTGTCGACGCCATTCTTTTCTCATTTCTTTAAATTCACTTGGACTTCGCTTTGGTCCCTAAGATAAGTTAGTAAGCATATATTCATACATATGATGAAACCATTCTTACATGTTTTTGCATGCTGACATGTGCATTTAAATGGTTCAGTGTGCCGTAAGCCTTTGTACATCCTGGCCAATTGCAATGGTATAGTCGTTCGATTTCATCATATCTCCTTCTGGGTCGCTTTTTTTGATTTGTACCAGGAATTTCCACAAACGAATAAATTTTTTCCACAGAGGAGCTGGCACTGCTGGCGTTGCTCAGCTGTCTTGTCCTCTGTTGTGTGTTTTGGTTGTAATCAACAGGGGCTGGCATCATGGCTGGATCGGCGGTTAATCCGGGTTGGAGTGTGGCGGTATACATGGAATCAAAGGGCATCATGACAGCAGCAGCAGCCATCATATCTGCACTGGTAGTCGTTGTGGTTGTAGCTGGATCTACCAGGACTGGATTGGCGTTCAATTGGTATTGACCAGGATGAACTGTCTCAGTGGGCTGGACGGTATAGTCGTACATCATTTGAGGCTGCGTTTGTGGAGCAAATGTAGTTGTCGTGGGTATCATTCCATTCATTGAAACAGCAGCTGCAGCCGCCGCCGCCGCCGCTGCTGCTGCTGCTGCTTCCATATTGGTATTATTATTATCCATCTTGTTATTCGCCGGTAATAATTGTGAAAGCGGAGGTAAGGATGGTAGTTCTAATGGTTGTAAATAACCACCTTTTTGTTGCTGCCTTCTATTCAATAGGCCGCTTTTTATAGGTCTTTGTTGTTGTTGCTGTTGCTGCATAATAAAGTAATTATCTTGTGGCATTCTGTGTATTAAAAAAAAAGAAAAAAAAAAAGAAAAAAAAAGAACGATATATATTTATACAATGGACAAAGGTACAAAAAGGGATTTTCCTTGCTCTTGCGTTTTTTTACGCTCGGGGAATAACGTCATAGAATGATGAATTTCTATAAAAAGTTAGACTGAAATGAATGCCTCGTTTTCTGAATTGGCATTCACCACACATTGGAAGGGGGACAGCAGAGGATAGTAGAGAGATCAGCGGTGTCCAATAAGAATTAAGCTATGACGAAAATTGAAAATGTATGACAAATAGCGTCCTTTGTTTCAGATTACTTTGTATACCCGATTGAATTTTATTTTTTGCAAATAAAAGTGGTCTGTGTGTTTAAGTTTAGTGTATCGTGGTATCACTAGGCAACAAAGTTCAAAGAGGGAAAGAGAGGAGAGATCAACACGATTATGCATAGGAATAAAAAGCAGAGAACGAATGAATATGGTTTAGAAGGGACGACTGTAAGATTAAGAATATGAACGATTGCTACTGTAACACATATTATCAAGGTTATAGTTGTGTAATACGATTCTGCAGTGAATCAAAATGACATAATTGCAGCTAATCATATGCTTGGGAGTATAAAGTGATAAATGATACATTATGAATACTGCTTTTTCCTTCCATCTTTATACATCGTTATAAACAATGACTACCTGTTTAACAAAGAGATATGGCCAGCGTCTAAAAAAGCAAGTTGTGATAGCTTTTCATTTAATTTCATAAAACATAACACTTTTACATATTTTAAGTTTAGCAATATCGACGGAATTTCGTAATCAAGTACGAATTCCTACATCGCTTCTCAGCTGCGCTGGCTGTAATATCATTTTACGATCCTGCAATAACCCCAACGTGATGACATGCTACTCAATATATTTTCTTTGTCTTCTTTTCGGAGCGTACATGCCCAATGCAGCTTGATATGCATTGGTATGACAGTGAATATATGATGAATCCACACTCCCGTTTCTAAAAGGAGGGAACAGTGGGATCACCTGTAACTTCTCCGACATTGCTTAAATGATGAAAACACCAACCTTTGTCTGATGATGTTGCCATCACATATTTCAGCATAGGCAAAGAAGAGTGATAAGTCAAATGCTCATTCAATTGTAAAGGATTGCTGTAAATATATCTTTGGCTTTATTTTACAAATGCGATTGTTGTGCCGTTCAGATAACGCTTGTTAAAGTAACCCGCTGCTGAGAACATTCGCCACATAAATTACGTATGACAGATGTATAAGAAAGCAGATAACGTAAATGAATGATAATTTGCATATAATCAGCTACACTTCCGAATGAATAAACCATTCTATCCATTGAGGAAAAAGATGTGTATTTTCTAACTCTTGGGTATGTTCCTGACCTAAAAGGATTACTAAATTTGATATGAAGATCAACTCACCCCTCTTAATTTCGTTAATTCTTTCGGATTTTATTTATGATCAAATCACTTTGATTGATGTTAAAATTACTACATAATGTTGTAACCATGAGTACAAAGCAGGAAAAAGAGATTGTTACGATAACCTGTGGGGTTTGTTTGTTTTTTTGCTGTCAGGACTTTTAACAAAGAAAATATGTCGCATATACACAGTAAAAACAACGCCAAGAGCTTTCCTTTTTCAATAAAAGGGTGAGGAGAGAGAGAGAAAGATTTCAAAGGGTTGACCTACAGCATCTCAAATAAGCAGCAGTTTGATGACTTGTGATTCCGTATGTAAAACCTGGTCCTTAGGAAAACACTGTAGATTTGGATTGATTTTTATTTGCATATCAATATATTTACAGTGTTAAAAAAAAAAGTTGTCGTTCTTCTTCAAACAAGTCAGTTTCTTTTACTGCGTATAGTTTTTTTTTTGGCTGTTTTAATATTCTTGATATTGTATGACTTCAAGGCACCAGCAAGTAAGGTGCTATAAATTTTAATCAAATCCTTTTTGTTTTTTGTTTTTTTCTTTTGGTGCAGACAAAGAAAAAGAAGAGTTTCCATGCTTCAGAAAGCCAAGATATATTACAATGAGCTTACTGACAGAGGTAAGAGATGACTCATTCTGAGCCAGCACTTTCGGCAGCAGCTTGTTTATCTGCCTTTGCTCTACTTTTCGGTATGCAAAAGGCTTCAAAACAAGCAATGCTGCTGAATGCATGATATTGAAGCTTTCGAACGTTAACGGATTTGCTAGTGAAAAGCCTTTGCCGTCGTATTTCTTACAGTAGAAACCCCAGTTGTTTCTAGCATTCTTCTTGTAGTGTTGGTTTATAATCTTGTTCTTGCATATATATATCATCCTTAGAGCAGGTTTGGGAAGTTTTGGTGATACATTCCCGAGGGTCTTGGACTGCTGAACCAAGGAAAAGGCTAAAAAATGCACCATCCACCGAACCAAAAAATCCACTTGCCGCAAGCAATTCAACATAGTCAAACATTACCATTAACTCAAAGTAGTCTTTTCCAAGTCTAGTCTTTCGTTGAATAAAGGCCACAGCTTTGTCTTGGTGCCCTATCTTTGACAGTCGGCACAATCATCGATATCAAAATTGTTATGAATGAACAAGAAAAAGCTGGCCATGAAAAATCAATGATTCTACAACAAAACAACTGATTCCGCGAGCTTGGGGCCGTACTCCCGAACGATGCTTGAAGCTTCCGCCGAATCCAAGACGACCTTCTTCATTAACAAATCATTGCCAAAGTTGTTTTTCCATAAGTGTTATTCTTTGGCATCAAAGAACCGGTTGATAGGAGAAGCAATCATAAGACTAAGGTTGTCTTTCATGGTTGCAGTTTCCTTGTTGGCAAGGTAATAAGCGCGTTTCAGCGTATTCTTCATACTCTCAAATTTTGTGCGGGCTGCTTCTGGGGTAGCAATTTTTGAAATATCAAAAGATTGTTCATTTTCAATAGGTTTGATGATGATGTGGTCTATTTCGTCTTCTTCCACGATACACTTGAACTTTCTCTCAAATATTTCAGGCACAATGAAGGTAACCTCCCTACTTGTAGTGACGGATTGAAGAAGAAATAATGTAAAAATGTGCACTTTTCACGGTCGTCAAGTGTTATTGTGTGTAATCTGGCAGCGTGAAGGAAAACGTGCTCAATATACTTCTTGTCATAGTATTGGCATTATTGTGTTTAGCTTTACTTGTTATTGAAAAAAAAAAGCAGCTAAGTCGATGACTTGCGAATTATATTCATCATTAAAAAGAAAGGAGTATTGTTGAAATAAGGCGCGTGTGCGTTTTATAAGGGAAGAGAATCTATGGCTGCTAATTATTTTGATGTGGTCAATGTGATTAATTGTTATGCTCGTATTGGCTGAGAATAAATAATAGAATTAAGGGACATTTCCGAAGGTGTGAAGATGGAACTTTGGGGCTGCAGACAATAGCTGTATCATCTTTTGAAGGTGAATGAGCGGCTGAGCATGGCGATGGAAAAGGATCTGATATGGGCGGCGGAAAGAAACAATGGAGTGGGTATAAAATGTGCAGCTTTTGATGGGTTCGATATTTGTTGGCAGCAGCTTTATTTTCCTGTCAAGTGTAATAATAAGTATATCTAAATATTCATACTTTTTCTAGTTTTATGCATAAATTTTGGTTTGTGAACTCACAAAGAAAGAAAAAACAAAATATAATTGTTGTTCTTTAAGTCACATATTATTTGTGCAACAGATGGAAGCTAGAGTGACGCTGTACTGGGTGCCGGGAGGCAACTCAACTTGGAATGGCCAGGCTTGTGACAATAATGACAGTGTAGGAACACTGCAAAGATGACGCCCTTCCTCAGGCTATTGTAACTCATGTGAGAGTTCCGAGAGGTTGTGTATTTGGACGTCAAACTATCCATGAGACCGAACAGTGCCAGCAGCGAAAACTAAACCATACTTACTAACTAGTTTGACAAAGCTTTTGCCTAGTTCTCTATTTGGAAGAAAAGGAAGCTTTAATATACGAAATCGGATGGTGTGTTGGCGTGGGGCACTGCAGACTCGCTGCCATAAACCACATGACCATCTACATTGATGCCTATTTTACAGTGGTCAAGGTTTCCAAAAACATTTTAACTACAACTCCTTGGACCAGACAGTCTTTTTCTACTATGGCAAGTTTAAACTGGCAGAGAGTATTGAAAAAAGACGAAATGCAAACAAAAAAACAATATTGACTTTTTTTTTTTTGCAAAGGAGAGAGTGGCAGTGAAAGTGTCTCCATGCATACTTGCTTAAAGTAGCGGTACTATTAGTCGTTATCCATCATTTGCATACGATGGTGTGTGTCGAGCGCCTTGTGAGGAATATAGGGATACGTAATCTGCATCAATATTACTATGGTGTCGATGAGTTGCCAGGTATGAGATTTGAGCCGTTCTTCATAGTGTTGCCTCATAAGACTCCCAGCTTCGTACTCCATTAGTAAATTGTAAATGAAGTTTCTCACCCAGCCGTAGTCAAAGAATAACTTGGGATCGTACTCCTTATTGAACTTTATTGGTCTAAAAACTTCTTTGTTAATTAATTGAAGTTATTCAGATAGTCTCACAAGAGCACTGGTATTTCACTATGGCGCGCACAGAACCATAGAAAATCTACGGACGACCGTGAAGGGGCGTCCCAAAATTTACCTGTTTCGGACAAGCTATGCATATTTCCAGAAATTCCTGACCAATCATATACAAGCATTAAGATTCTCTGAATAGGCTCATAATAACTCTAAAATTAGATAGAGTAGGCAGAAATTACTTTAGAATGGATGGATTACATTTATTTCATTTGTTTTAATAATAATTAGCATAAAATGCTTTTGACATTAGGTACTTGGTAGTACAACAAGTCTTCTTGGCAGAAAAGAAAAAAAAGGGGGAGGGGCTGATCAGGTGTTATTCAGCAACTCATCTTGAATCTACCACTATCTACATCTGCATCAAATTTTTTTTTTTGTTATGGAATAGTGTTTATACATCAATGACAGTACCATATTTAGTTAGTATACAATCAACTTTAGAAACAAGGCGCTTTGAAGAGTGGCCAAGAGCCTTTATTCACAACTTTCATTGGCCGGGCCCCTCTGTTGTACTAGGTCGTTTACGCGCTCTCTATTCAGTTTACCTGATTTACTCTATAGTACAAAGGAGGAGAAATTGATTCTCCACATTGTCTCACTACATATAGTGAATTAGAAAAAGGGAATCAAAGTCATATCTGAGAAAGATCTACGAGTCATTGTTGTATTCATATGCTTGTTTAACCCATCGCTTTTGGGGGGAACACTTTTCTTCTAATTCTCTCGCGGAGCGCAAGATGATTGGATGCTCTTTGGTTCATCATGTGGACTTGAATCGAGTAACGAGCTTCTGAACTGACACCACGTGTCAGATGATCCTTAAAGGCATTCAAAGATCGAGATGTATATAACTGGATGCGCTATTAAATTACTCTAGTCAAGTGTATGTGCGTATATGGTAAAGTACGCATGATACTCAGCTGTCAGGGGGAGTCGATCAACCGACTATTGGAAAAGCCCTCATTTCAAAATACGACATTATTTTAGTAAAAAAAAAAAAAAAAAAAAAGGAGAGCCTGACTTGAGTGAATGCAACTCTAATTTTACTCAAAACGATGCGGGAAAAAAAGGTATTTATTGGAAATAGAGTTAAATTGAAAGCGAGGGAATATCAAGGTATCACATGTATAAATATTAACTAAGAATGGGTAAGAACTAATATATAAAGTTAGAGTTATATGTTTCATGGACCAAACAGTAACTTACATTTCCGACAATGACGCTTGGTAGATCAAAAATGTCACGTTTAATGGTAAAGCAAAATGTACAGGGTACAGGTTTTTTCTGCGGTGTTCTTAATATACATGAGTAACTGCATGCTTTGTCAGTATTGTCAAAAGCATGGCTTGAAAACTTTTCCCAGTATTCTACAGCTGACTGATTCTCCATCAACTTTAATAGCTTTTTTAGAAACCCCGCGCTTTTTGCTGTATTCATTTTTTTTTTTTACCTCATAGATGTACGTCTTTTTATTCAATAACATGTCTTTTGTCCATTGAGTTAGTAAAGAGAACTCTTTACCAACGAGGCATACTTCGCCTGTTCTTCTCCACACGACAGTCGGTGTTCCTGAGAAACTGATCAGCTTTTCGTATTCCAATAGTGTTCGTTGTATACACTTTTCCATAAACACCAAGTCTTCTTCTGTTAAATTCATGATCAGTGATAGAAAAGACGGCCTGAATAAGGAGAGAGCCCGACTAATCCTTTTTAGGTCATCTCTACTCATCCTATTGCAAAAGATAGATGAGCAAATGTTCCCTTTTAAAAATAAAAACACTCTACTTTTCTGTCACATATTGAATAAGATAGTGAAATCCCTCGGCATAATTAAATGGCTTTTGAACACTGTTATATACACTTTCTGGACTACGACTTTTTCTTTTTGTTGGCTGCTTTGTTGTTGTCGATGACGGTGTTTGAGCAGAGGACTGTTGAACAGGAGAGGGTGAATATTGCACTTGTTGTTGTTGTTGTTGTTGAGACGTAGTTGAGCTAGGAGTAACAGGTGAAGAATGAAATGAAGAAGTGAAAATAGGTGAAAAGGGAGTTGTAGGTTGAAAGCAGTCCTGTTGTTTATCTGTCATATTACCAAGAACACCATATTCTAAACCAGCAGTTTCCGAGCCAAAGCCTAAATCGGTCAAGGAGAAATTAAAAAGTGCACAATTATCCATAAAATGACTCAGAGAAGTCGTAGTGGTTTCTATTTGAGGAAAATCTAAGCAACAATTCAATTTGTGTGGGGTAAAAAAAATGACTTTTTTCTCACCTATTGGCTGATCTGCAGGCGTAAAAGGTAACATGGTTGGAGTGGCAAACACTTTTTTAAGGGGATGCATTGAGTAGAATGCTTTCATTAATGTATCGATAGCTTACATGATAGCTGGTCGTCTTGTGGAGAATAATGATTGGACTTCAATCTCTTCCTTGTTATATCTGAACATGTTGTGCTAAGGTCACGTTTGATACATCCTTGACATGGTCGAGCTAAAAAGAATTTTTTTATATATAAATAAGGTCGTGAGAAAATAAATAAACCAAAAAACTACCTCCATCACAAGTGAGTCTTGCCTAGAGTCGACTATAATTAGTTCTAAAGCATACAAATTCATCTCTAGTTTACCTTTTGGCAGTGATTACATGGCTCTGTTAAACCTTTTCTTTTCTCTTGTTCTAAAGAATACGTAAAATAAGGATAATCTTGTATGTTGCTTGTCGTCATGCTGGTAACATTTTGAGACATTGTAAAAAGAATAGGTTGTTAAAAAAAAAAAAGGAGGGAAAAGAAAAGAGAAGAGAAATGTGGAGAAATGAAAAAGTTGAATACGGTTACTTCTAAAAAAGGAACTGCATGGCTCTTTCATCTTACTGGATAATATGTTGTTACACATCATGATGCTTCTTCTTTGCTGTTGTGACTTTTTAAACGAGCGCGCGCACACTTGTATTTCTTTTCTTTTCTTATTTCAATGTCTATAGGTAAACTTTAAAACCACACACAAAATGAATCGAAAATGTCTAATGGTTTATAGAGAATAAAGCAAATCCAGATCTCATTGATGAATCACTACGCAACCGTATCCGTGGATTTGCTGCCGGTATGGCTTCTGGTATAACAAAATTAGTTGTGGGTCACCCCTTTGGTATGCAAATACAGATGTATGTGCCTTATTTTATGGACTAATTTAGCACTTTACAAGATACCGTCAAGATTCGTATGCAGACAACAAGTAAAGCAGATGGAAGATTCAAAGGCCCCCTTGATTGTTTCCTAAAGACGATACGACACGAAGGCCCATCTGCACTCTACAAGGGAGCCACACCACCACTCGTAGGCTGGATGTTTATGGATAGCATCATGTAACTCTACACGTAGAATAAGCCGAGAAAAGAGCAACTAAAGATGTTTAGGTTAGGTACTTTACATAATGCTCGTATGTTTATGCAAAGATGGAACGGAGATAGACCCCTATCTGTCTTTCAACATGGACTTGCAGGATTAGCAGGTGGACTCACAGTCTCTTTTGTGGCTACACCTGTCGAACAGATCAAAGCGAGATTGCAAGTTCAATATGATGCAGGCACAAAAGTGTACAGGGGACCGATTGATTGTATTAGACAAGTGGTAATAGAGAAACAAAAAAAAATTTAAAGGAACTAATAGATCATAGGTTCGTAATAACGGTATCTTTGGTCTCTGGCAAGGATTGCTACCCACCATGTTATTTAGAAGTTGGTTTTTCGTATTCTGGGGTTCATATGAAGTGTTTACAAAAGAGTTAACCAAGTTCAATCTGTCAGAAGGCTCCGTCTCATTTATTGCTGGTGGTCTAAGTGCAACCGCGTTTTGGATTGGCGCATTTCCTTCAGGTAAAAAAAAAAACAATTGAATGTGAGTCACAATGATTTAAAAAAAAAAAGATGTGGTGAAAAACAGATACATGACACAACCGGATGTATCTCCAAAGAAGTTCCCTACGCCTACTTCAGTTGCACGCTTTGTATACCAAACTGAAGGATTACGTGGGTTTTATAGAGGTAAAAGTCATGTTTGTATATATTGGTACTAACTTTTGTAGGCTTTTTACCATCCTTTTTACGAGCTTTTCCTACAAATGCATCTGCTGTATTCATGTTTGAATTTGTCATGGGTTTACTCAAGTAATGACTTGTATATTAGAATGTATTTTTGCATAAAAGAGTGTAACTATGTATTTCTGGTGTGCACGGATAAAGAAAAAGGCTTTCATTGGCGGAGAAATGTTTTAAGGCTTTTTTTTTTTTTAAAAAAATCTCTTTATTGAGCCAAACGGATCTCTTTTTGGAGCAAATGTAAAAAACAAACAAAGACGAAACGGATATGGATACAAGGTTATGAGTCACAATGATCCAAAGTGAAAGAACAAGTTCTACATATACCTATTTTAGTGGCACGTTTTTTCTTTATCTCTCAGATATCATGGATTTTGTCAAAGACTTGGATAACCGACTTTTATTTGCGATTCCCAAAAAGGGACGTCTTTACGAACAATGTCTACAACTCTTACACGGCTCTGATATTCACTTCAATCGTCGTTTACGTCAAGATATTGCTCTCTGCACCAATTTGCCCATTGCCCTTATTTTCTTACCTGCTGCCGATATCCCCAAATACGTCGCTGAAGGTAATGTCGATTTGGGTATCTCTGGACAAGACATGATTGTCGAAAATGAAGTATCGGATAAAGTAACAGAGGTGATGGAACTTGGGTTCGGCAAATGCCGTTTATGTATTCAGGTACCTGTCAAGGGTGAATTCCAAACCATTGAACAGTTGGCTGGTAAACGTATCGTTACCAGCTTTGATGCATTTGCTAGAAAAGTATTTGAGCCCATCGATAAAGCTGCTGGAACAAAGACGACCATCAACTATGTTTCTGGATCTGTCGAAGCTGCTTGTGCTTTAGGTCTTGCTGACGGCATTAGTAAGTGATTATGAATTATCACCATCACAACCATTAACTCATGTTTTTTTTATAGTTGATTTGGTTGGTAAGCAACACATTTTTATAAACAAAAACTAAACATCGCCCTAATCCCATTCATATAGAATCCGGAGAAACAATGCGTGCAGCTGGTCTTCACGATATTCATACCTTACTAGAAACTCAAGCTGTCTTGATGTCCAACAAGAATTCTCACCATCAAGATCTCGTCGATAAAATCGCTTCTCGTATTCGCGGTGTCATTACCGCCGAAAAGTATGTCCTTTGTACATATAACATCGAACGCGTCAACCTTTCTCGCGCGGTTCAAATTACGCCTGGTCGTCAAGCACCTACTGTCGCTGCACTAGACTCTCATGAAGGTTGGGTCTCCGTCACGGCCATGGTTGAAAAGAAGAGAAAAGGTGAAATTATGGATCTTTTGGCTGATGTGGGTGCTACGGATATCTTGGTCATGGCCTTCACCAACTGCAGAGTTTAATATATACATTTATTTTTCTAACTGTTGAATAATCTCGAATAAAGTCTATCGTGCATACCTTGACACACATCCAACAATGGATTTGTCTGACAACAATCTTCTATTGTCATATTTTTTGTATGGTGAATGATCTCTTCTACAGGTCCTCTGGACTCAAGTAACAGTCGCTGTGCTTCGTAAGGTCCAATGATGTTGAGTCGGACGGCAGAAGAGTAAATGGTCCTTGCGAACAAATAGAGCCATAGATGAAGTGTATTTTCTAAATCGACATTGAGACAACGACAAACGAGTCCAAAACAGATGGCGAAATGACCATATACTTTCTCTGCTCGAATCATGTTTTTCCATTGCTTGACCACTCGTACCTTTTCTTCTTGTTCGTTGGTTTCTGTAAAACACTTTAAAAAGAGAGTGAGCATGGCAATGCCTTGAGCTAATGAGGCTCGTTTTGCCACAGCATTGGCTGCCATGACGGCGTCACATGTAGCATCGCAATCTGTCAAGAACGACAGTGGGTCCTTGTTGTCAAGTGATTCATATCCTGCTTGGACAAAACAGTTGGTGTTGGAAGCATAATTATGTGCTGAAGAAGTAACAAATGTCGAAATGTTGTTGCTATCCACTAGTCCGGCTTGATGACTCGCCTCGAGCCCAGAAGAAGATACGAATCCACCTGTGGGAAGTGCTGAATCAGTCAAGATGTAAAGCAGCCAGCTACTTGTCTCATTCGAGGTAAAGTAAGGCAACATAAGGGAGAAAAAAAAAGAGACTGGGTTTTAACACAAAGATGAATACACTCGCTTTCTCTCTTTTTTTTTTTATTATGATTTATTTAAGCAAAAAAAAAGGGGGGATTTTTTTCTTTTTTCCTCTAAAAAATCCAATGATTCGCGCGGGCATTTGATTTAAAGAGTACGGGTGACTTGCCAGACACGGATGATGTTGTCAGAGTAACCAGAGAAGAGGGTGGCACCATCGGCACTCCAAGCAACAGACAAACATTCAGGGTCAGGGTTCTTTCTCTTTCCTAATTGAGCAAACTCAGGACGGAGTTCATCAACAATAGACTTAGTTTCAAGATCCCAAATCTTGATACCGTTAGCAGTGGCAGCACAGAGCCAGTAACGGTTAGGAGAGAAAGTAAGGGCGTGGACAACGGAGCCAGCATCGAGAGAGTAGAGGTGCTTGGCATCGTTCAAGTCCCAGAGCATGACAACACCGTCCTTACCGGCAGAGGCACAGAGAGAACCATCGGGAGAGATGGTGACAGTGTTGACGTAGCCATTGTGGCCAATGAAGTTGGTGCGAAGCTTCAACTTGGTGAGGTCCCAAACCTTGACGAGCTTGTCCCAACCACCAGAGACGATGAGAGGAGTAGCAGGGTTGGGAGAGAAGCGGACGCAAGAAACCCATTCGGTGTGGCCGTCTTCGGTGATGTTGTACTTGCATTCACCGAGGGTGTTCCAGAGCTTGATGGACTTGTCACGAGAGCCGGAAACGATTTGACGGTTATCGGCAGAGAAAGAGACAGAGAGAACATCGTTAGTGTGGCCAACGAAACGACGAGTGGTGGTACCATTGTTCAAATCCCAGAGACGGAGAGTGTGATCCCAAGAAGCAGACAAGGCAAATTGACCATCGGAAGAGATGGCAATGTCTTCAACAAAGTGGGAGTGACCAACAAGGGACTTACGAGGGACACCATAGTTGACCTCATCTCTACACACATTTGATAAGTTTTTTCTTTTCCAAATTCTTCATTATAAATTCCTACCTGGTAAGGTTCCAGACGATGATAGTCTTGTCACGAGAAGCAGACAAGACCATATCAGGAGCTTCAGAAGTAGTAGCAATGGCAGTGACTATAATGAAAATCCACACTCATGTTAATTATCTAATTGTTTCAATACACTCAAGTTGACATCCTTACCCCAGTTGCCATGACCTAATATTAAATATCGATACGTCAATATATCTTATCCATCCATCCTTTATTCATTTCATCCGTTTTACCTTCAAGAGTACCGCGCAAGGTAAGAGTATCCATTATTCGCGAGATGAAAAAGAAAGAAACTTGGCTTGCATATCCCATCGAGCTTTATCATAGTCTTTCAAACACCCACAACGGTTCGCTAAAAATTTCATACTCCGGTTTCGACTCTGTTATAAACCGGGCAGTGCGTCTTTTATTATTTAAGGGAGACTGACTCCTTACTTTCACCAAAGAAAGAAAGGGGAGTTCTCTTTTTTTTTCTTTATTTATTTTTTTCATATGGAGCCAACCCCTGAGCAATGCAAAGAATCTATAAAAGAAACGCAAAAGAGCATAAGGCAGTTACAAAAAGCCATGGTAATTGTGTATATACGTTTTTAAGGTAGTCCATCACTTATTCATTCCCTTAAGCAAGAGGCTAAACAAAAGGTAAAGAGCTGCATGTTTGAATCTTTACTCTCTCTTTCTTTCTTTCTTAAAAAGTATTCTAGAAACAGGATACAAGGTACAATAAACTATACGTTATAAGAGATAGACCAACACTTTCTTTTATATATATAGCGCAAAAATGGATATACTCAACAGTGAGTATGGTAAACTAGCTCAACTACGACTCGATCATGCCGAATCAATCAAGAGTGAATGGCAAGTGTATTGTAAAGAGCAGCGTGCTATTAGAAAAGCAGATGCTGAAAAGAGACAGGTTGAATTTGATGAGGAATTGTCAGCACAGGATAAAGAGAGAAAGAAAACATGGAATAAAAAAAAGATGACAAGCAAGCAAAAGATTGAGGCGTGTCAACAGCTGATAGAACTGCTAAAGGACCAAAAGAATCTAGAGATAGTGAATGATACCGATTTCCATATTGATACCTCTATCATCATGATGCCGTCTTCTACTATGGAACTATTTTGGGCACTGGATATTGACCCTCCTATCATGAAGTCAGAAATTGATTCAACCATTACGTTATTGTCACAGATGATTTGAATTATACCATTCAGTTCGTTTTTCTATATGTTTGATGAAAATCTACTGTAGTAAAGGCGTCATAAATAAATCGAATTGAGATATCGGCTTAATGTCACGGGAGGTTTTATGCCGCTGCTTGTTCCATATACATTTGTTAAAAGAGAAGTATCACTTTACTGTTTTTTTTCATCGTGTGATGTCTTTTAGAATGTTAAATGCCCTTGTATGAGGATAGAATGATGCATAAAATATACCAATTTATACGATTTTACATTGACACATTTCATGCAAAGTATTCAATATCAGTTCTATTAAAAAACAAACAAAACATCTCTAGAGACCACTTGGGTAATAGCCACCATAGCCCTATAGTCCATTCTAATAGTTATATATATATAGCCAACGAACGAAACTTTCTTGCTTGGACTCGTACTTCGTTGTTGTTTATAACCACTGCAATAAGTAAGTCGATTGCTATGTAGTCTTACACTAATATATATAGCCATCATGCAGCTTTATCCTTCTTTTCTTGGTAAACTGTTTGGACTCTTATCTATCATGCAAAGTATGACTTGTTTATATCTTGGTATTGTTCGTTATTATCATGTACAATGGGCACTTCAACACTTGTATTTTCCTGCAAGTCAAGGTGCTATCGTCATACCATTTATCTGTACTTTATCTTTATTCATTGGCCTATTCATCACTGCTTGATTTTCTTTTTTTTTTTTTTTTGATGACAGATGCTATCCAAAAGGCTGTAGACAAACTAAAAGCACTCGAAACGATAAAGATAAAAAGGACAAAAACTTCAAGCTACAATTATGACTTAAATGCAGTGCAAGATCGACTCGACATTGAATTCAATATTAAAGCATTCACTATTGAATGTGTGATTTTATATATTCATTTTATTAAACTGAATACCAACTTGTGTTAAAATAGGTCAAGTCATTCTTAGTAATGCCACAAACTATGAGTTTCCACCCGACATCATTTTAAGAAAACTACCAAAGCAATTAGAAGGAATGAGCAACTGGTTACCTACTGACTGGAGTATTCAACAAGAAAACTGTTTATATACATGGCTTAAAGAACTCTCTGACCGTATGACATTGATCCTCACGGACAGTACAACACATGATGATGATTTTCAATCGTCTCGAGTAGACGTCAAACGACAAAAGACAATAGATATAGAAGATAATGATAAGAAAGAGAGTCGTAAACAGTTTATGTTGGCTTGGTTATCCAAGTTCCCAGATCATATTATAGAATACGACGCACAAGATTATTTTACATTTTCCTTGTATTTAACATTTCAAATACCTCAAGACACATGGAGCCAAGTGCGTAAAAGGAAACAAGAGGATTTACAAAATTATCGAGTAGGTAAAGAAGAAAAGGTAGCAAAAGCCAAGTCTGTTGCACCTGTGATTATCAAATGTAAGTTCAACACAAAGAAAAGGGAACATTTGTTTACATTGATAAAGTCAAAATGCATGAATTATTTCCAAAGGGCAATCTACACATTCGACTCATCTCTGTCATGAATACGACAAGGCTTGGCTCGTCTATGCCTGAGAGTCGATTGTTCAAGTATCCAATTGATCAAAGATTAGTCAATGACCCTACTTGCCTATTGTAAGTTTCTTTTACAACTATTCTTTTTTCTTACCCATGATGTAGATCTTTATTGGCTGAAAGTGCTGTAAAGTTTCATCTCTGTCAATAAACGGAGTTCATATTTATACCAACTTTTATGCATTTCGTCTCCCTTTTTTCTTTTTCTTTTTATACATATATATTTTTTCTCACATTATGAACCCACACAGCTCAACATTTTATACAGACATCAGGCAATCATCCTCTTGTTACTATGATGAAAAGCCATCTAAACAGATACGATCCATGCCGGTGGGAAATGAAAGACTGGCTGCCTTGAGGGATTTGGGTGTCACTTTTAAGGAAGGCACACACAGAGTTACCAAAATTGCAACTCCTTCTGGAACACCCGTATTACCTTCCTTTGTAGATGCCGGGCAAATAGAGGTAATATAGACCCTTATTCATTTAATATTCGACTGAATCAATGTAGCATTTGTTAATACAGGAGCAACAGAAACAAAAGAAAAGAAAAGATAGCTATGATGATGATGCCATAGGAAATTGTTCTGTTAAAGAAGATTTTGGACGATATGCTGATTGGCGTTGATATTTATATACTCTTTATAATAAATTTTCCCTCCGCTTTTGCTTACCTTTCTCTCTATATCTCTGTGACAGGTCCCTCGCTTTTTTTTTTATTGTTTCCCAGGAACCCCCTAATTCATAGATATTTATATGCTTTGTAGAGTAGCAAGGCTAGTACCAACTAGACGTATTCTATTACAATCATGTAATAAGAGAATAATCATACCAAGACAGACATTCCAAATTATACGGTCGCAGTCAGCCTTGTCTAGTACTGCTGCGACTGTTAAAGTAAACATTGAACAAACCACGATGGATAACAACAAAGGTAAAGAACCTCACCCTTTTTTTTTCTTTCCTTTAATTTTACATATAGACACTTCACCATTAAAACGCTATGACGAAATCACAACCAATGGCAGTGTAAGGTCAGATCCCGATCAAAGAAAAGTAGTTGAGAAATTAGATACACTCTGGTACCAATTAAAAAACTATACACCCACAGAGCAACATGACCTCTTAAAGTCTTTAAAATTTACTTGGCTATCCAGAAAACAACAAGTAGTACCCAAGTCACTTTATGTCCATGGTAATGTGGGCACAGGCAAGACGATGGTCATGGACCTCTTCTTCAACACGCTACCTATCCAAAGAAAACGACGAGTCCACTTTCACGCATTCATGCTTGACGTTCACCAACGCATTCATCAAATCAAGACTCGTTATCCTCGACTGGCCGATCCTCTATCACCCATTGCTGATGACCTCGTCAAGGAGGCCTATGTGCTTTGCTTTGACGAGTTTCAGGTGACTGATATTGCCGATGCCATGATCCTTCGACACCTATTTGAAGAGCTATTCAAGCGCGGCGTCGTTCTCGTCACCACATCGAATCGACACCCGACCGAACTGTACAAGAATGGGATTCAACGTGCGTCGTTCATACCATGCATTGAGCTGCTCATGGAAAAATGCGAGGTCCTCTGTCTGGACAGTGGCACAGATTACCGCAAGGTCGAACGAGCCCAGACCCCTGTCTTTTTCCACCCACTCAATCAGGACACACATCGTCAGATCGAGGCGATCACTCAACGGTTGACACACAATAAGCCGATGAAGCCGATGGAACTCCACTTCCTCTCACGTACCCTCAGGATCCCTCAGCAAGTCGATGGGGTGGCCAAGGTGCGGTTCGCCGATGTCTGTGCTCAACCCCTGAGTGCAGCTGATTACTTGGAAATTGTTAAACACTTTCATACCGTCATCTTGACGGATATTCCTCGTATGACCATGAAGCACCGCGCTGAAGCACGTCGGTTTATTACCTTTATTGATGCCATGTACGAGTCTCACGTGACGCTGGTCGCTAGTGCAGAAAACAGTATCCTAGAAATATTCAATGCGGAAGAAGGCAGAGAGGAGATGGAGGAACAGATGCGGGACATGAGGGATCTGTTGGACGTGTCGGATGTGTCTTCTCCCTTGTTTAGTGGACAGGAAGAGGCGTTTGCGTTTCAAAGAGCTTTATCGCGTTTGATTCAGATGCAGAGTACGGAGTGGGTTCGTGATGAATTGAAACATAGTTCATAGCCCTTTCCTTTATTGTAATACAGACACACTATTTATAAACATAGTTCATACACCCAATATATAAATAAATATATAAAACTAGTATTCTTGCTTGCTTTCATCTTGTCTAAATGAAGTTGGCCAAGGTTGACCTATAGAAGAAGATGGAGGAAAAGGAGAGCTGTATCCATTGATGTACGCATAACCATCTGAACGTTGCTCTCTCCAGTTTCTAATCGCTCTCGATACACCTACATCATCATCCAGCGATGGCGGCTCCAGCATCTTGCTCTCTTGACGATAACTATCATTGACACTTTGAGAACGTGTATGAAAGTAATTCTGTGTATCGGTATGAAAGTGATTGAGAGAAGAAGGAGGCATAAAGACCAAATGAGGCACCGACAGTTTTCTTCTCCTTCTTGGTTCCAAAGGATCTGCATTGTAGTGCCCAGGACTGCGCCCGCGCACGACGAGCGGTTGGGAGTAACATTCGGAAATGACGTAGTAATCCTCTTTGGACTGAGCAACCAATTCAAATGCCAAGCGGAAATATTGCTGAGCGGCTCTCTTTTTGCCGTTATTGGCTGTGGCGACCTTGAACTGGAGTCGTTCGAACGTGACGGTGCTGTCAACAGATACGGGGACCATCGGTGGTTCTCGTTGTGGGCCCTTGTCACGTTTGGGCGTCATTTGAGTGAGAGCGATCGGTTTGTCGTGGCTGTCAGAGATACATGCTTTCAGACGAATGTAAAATTGATCGATGGGGACGAGTGTCGAATGGATGAAAAGAGCAAAGGTACTGTTGGTATAGCCTGTGAGTGAAAGGGTAGCAGATACTTGGAAATAATTTCTACGATAACAGGTCCAATGACACTCGGACGTAAAGAAGAAGCCTCTATCCATTTTACAATCCAATGTCAAGACACATCTAAAAAGGCTCTTAGTCATATGAATGAAATCCAAACAGAACTTACGGTGTCTTATTATAGTCACTGTTATTGACTTCATAGATGTTATGGACATTGTTTGATGAATCAAAAAATCCATCTGTCATGAATGGTGACGTCTCCCTTAGCTGTAACAGTCTGGATGCTGTCTATAAGCTACAAGGTTCTCCTTATTTTGTATTTCTTTACCTTTCAAGCGATGGTTGATCTTTTATTACAGTCGTACTACCAACACAATAATCATGTCAATTAAGATAATTTTATTATTATATATTTACTTGAAAAACCCATTGCCAACAGGCATCGAATGAGATCGTTGATGAAGTAAAGGTGTACTACTCATCGTTTAAGAAAGAAGAAAGAAAAAGAAAAAAGGAAAAATAGAGTATAATCTGTGAGTGTGTAAAATAAAGTATATAAATAATAAAAAAAAATGATAAGCGAACGAAACAGAGAGCTAAACCAATGGTTTAAGGAGCCCTTGATTTTTTTAAGGAGGTTATTACTATGAAGAGAGAAAGCAGCTTTATCTTTTTTAAACTCAGGCATTTTGCTCTTTCCCTTTCACCTTCTTTAAAATGAACATTTTACACCACAAAAGGTATTGATTACAATACAAACTTTACGATACTCATTGTCTTGTAGCTATCATGTTTACAATAAAAAGAATATTGAAAAAGTCAGAAAGGACGAAGAAGCAGCAGCAGCTAAAGAAAAGGAAAAACAGAAAAGAATCGAATTGGCAGAAAGTGAAGCAAGACTTGAATTGTTGAGAAAGAGAGCAAACGAACAAGACAAGACAGAGACACCCATAGAACATGTCAATCTATTCAAGGATTACATGATTACAAATGAGGAGCATGACGCAGAGGAAAAAGCAAAAGAAGAAAAAGCAAACAGACAAGTGACAATGTATCTTGACAAAGGTGTAACAGAAGAAGCAACGCCTTGGTATGCAAAGAGTCATCAGGCGATGAATAAATACACGGATCCACACGTTAGACGTTCAGATAAAAAGTAACTCTATAAATATTTCTTGAAGTTACTGATTTGCTTTATCTTAGGCGTAAGAGAGATCCAATTTTGGTAAATGATGATCCTTTGGAATATATTGATAACAAATTGAAAAGAAAAGAGAAAAGAAGAGAAGGAAGAAGAGAAGAAAGAAAACGAGAAAAGGAAAAAAGTGGATCGAGTATAGAACAACTTCGAGCAAAGAGACTAGAGAGAGAAAGAGAAGAAAGAGAGCGCGCAAAGAGGCTTTATTTAGGCGCAGTAGAAGAAGAAGAGCAAGAAAAAGAGGAACCTGTAGGATATAACTCACAATATAATAAACAAGAGACAATATTGGCAAAACAAAGCAAGAGACGTCGTTTTTGAAACGACTAATGTGTGTGTGACCCTGCAACATGATGCACCCAACTGCACAAAAACTAGTTTTTATGAATGCTACTGAAACCGAGAGAAAACCATGGTTAATATACATTGTACATAATCAACAAAAAATAAAGATTCCCTATTTTAGAAAAAAAAATTGAAAAGCAGCTGTCAAGTTGATACAAACCTTTCTCTTTTTTGTCATGAGAGAGATCATCACTCTACAGCTAGGCTCACTTTCCAATTACGTGGGCACTCACTTTTGGAATGCACAGGTACTTTAATTCTGGTTATTATTCTTTATTACTATTATTTATACTTCATTAGGAAGAATACTTTGACTACACTGGCAATAACACTGAAAAAACAAACGAGATTAACCATGATGTACTCTACAGAGCAGGCGAATCAGCAAATGTAAGCAAAATGAATCATCATTATCATCATTACTAAAAACAATAACAGGGCATAATGACATACACTCCAAGAACCTTAATTTACAATCTCAAAGGCAATTTTGGTTCTTACCAAAAATACAACAAACTATTTGAGCCAAACGGTGCTGATATAAATCACACATGGTAAGTAAAAACAAAAGGTAAACACGAATGTATATTGATGATGTCTTTAGGGATCAGGGCATGACTAGAATCGATAGACCAATACCCAAAAACAAATATCAACAAGAACTAGATCGTCTGGACGTAGATAGTGAATATCAAATGGATCTGGACGCAATTGAACAACTAGAATCTACAGTCTATAACTGGTCAGACTTCAATAGGATATATTATCACCCACGCTCAATGAATGCCATCTCCACTCACCAGGCAGATGACGTGGTCAATCCCTTTGATAACTATACGATTGGAAAGGATGCCTATGTCGAGAACGAAAAGGAGATGAGTGTCTTTGATGATAACTTTCGATTGTTTGCTGAAGAATGTGATTATTTGCAAGGATTTCAAATATTGACAGACATTGATGACGCATTCGGAGGGTTTACCGAAGGATTGATTCATGACATACGGGATGAGTTTGCAAAGATACCCGTGTTGACCTATGGTCTAAGTGATTCTTGTTTACATTACCGTAATGATGTAAGAAAGAAAAAAAGAAAAACACAAGAGAAAGTACAAGATGTTGACCATCTTGTTAGCGTATGAAGCAAAAAGTGGCTCTGAATAGAGCGTTAAGTATGACCCGTCTTGGTGAGTTATCTTCTATTTATGTACCCATCTATACGCCAACAAGGACGTCTCTGCAAAAGAGTCACCTCCAATCTGATCTTGTCTTTAATGTAAGCTTACTGTGTATCATGAACTTTTTTTAACCTCAGTATTAGGAATACTCAAGATATCATACGAGTGCTATCATTGCAGCAGCTATTGAAACAAACTCTTTACCTTTTAGGTTAAAGAAGAATGCGGCCACTTTAGCAGAAAGTGTCTCCCGTCTGACGTACGTGAGAAACACAAAACTTGCTACACTATCTGTCACACTACCCTTGCTGAAAGAAAAAAAGGGGCCTCTATCACTTCTTGACTACGAGTCCAACATTGATGTAAGAAGAAGAAAAAGTGTTTTTTCTTTATTTTTAACTAATTTTTTCTATTAGAAGGAAGATATCTATAGTCAAACGACCATCGTACGAGGCTCAGAGCAATACGCATTTCCTGATCTTACAAATCCTCTTGTTGCAAACTACCATGTCGAAACCATGCTGCCACTCCCAGAATCATACCCTCGCTTGTTCCCATCTCAGTAAGTGATAGAGTCCCATCATAAAAGATGTAGATGCTCATTTGATAATCCCAGTGACAGACAAGTACCGATGATGACACAGTTCGAATCGGGTGCACGGGTGAAAGCTAGCGTAGAACATCAAATCAGTTCAATCCAAGACATTAATTTCCAAGAGTTTCACGAGTTCAAGCTGTCTCGAGACGACTTGTTGGAGACAAAAGAAACTCTTTTGACATGGTCTGATATGTATAATAAAGATGACATGTTAGAGTAGATAAGTGGCCCATACCCAATTGGCTGGGGGTGAAGGCTTAACAAAGGTTGGAGGTATCTTTCCCACTGGATCTCTTTCATCTCGCTCATGATTCTTCCAAATATACTGATCCCATTCTTTTCTGATACGTAAAAGCGCGCTTGTCGATTGATTCGCTTGACACCAGTATTCATAAGCAGCTCTGTCCAACTCCATGTGTTTCCAATGATCTTGCTCGTCAATGATCAATTCTTTACGCTCAGGCTCCCCCTTTTCTTGTTGTTCATGCCATTCCTTTACTTTATTGAAAAATTCGTTTCCATCATCTGCAAAGAAATGGCCCTGACTTTCTAATTTCTTTCGACGGAGGTTTCTTAGTTCGGTCAACTTGGTCAACAATCGAGACAATTCCTTGATTTTTCTCCTTGTCTCTCTTTCCTTTTGGTCTTTTGCATCCTTTTGCACCTTTGCCGTTGTCACTTTCCATTCAATCTCTTTTATCCACTGTTTGTTTCGCTTTTCAACTAAACGTTGCTCATGCTTGACTCTTTTTCTTGCGCGTTTTTTCCAAGCTTTATGTCGTTCAAGTTTCCTTTGTTTGTTTAATAGAGCACATATCAAGTGGTCATTGTCCATGGATCGACTCGTTTGAATCAATCTTGCTGCATCATGGCCTAATGTTCGTATATATGAAGCCCACTGCTCATCCGTCATTGTGGCTGCATTGTTGGTATCCTTGATTTCTTGAGATAATTGTTCATAAAGCGAGATTGCTTCACCCAATCTTGCTTTTGTTCTTGTTATTGACATTATAAAAAAGGCAAACACTTGGTGCACTAAAAAATAATAAATGAGGGAGTACAAATACCCGACGTTGTCTATTAGCTGAGAATGAATTAATAAAGGAAGATACGTGATCTAGGTAGCATTAAGCATTCTAAAAGCTGTTGGGATAAGTGCTTAAGCAAAGGATTAGATCCAAGATAAAAATCAATATATGTCTTATCGAATAATAATATCCCTCAAACAGAAGGATGTAGGGTCTAAGCTAATTTTTTATTGATTGTTATCAAGTAAAAATTTCTAATCTGTTTAGGCAAGGCTTCGCATTTCTTGATGTTTTCTTTGACATGCTATTTTAAAGAAAACAGTGACTTTATGAAGCAACAGTGAATTCAGTCAATGGAAGTGGTTGTAAAAATCGATGTCTAAGAAAAGGCGCCAAAAAGAGTCGACCTGTGAGGAGCATAAAGCTCATCTGACCCATCATACAGCCAATTTTACCCAGTTTTGTCTGAGGCACCTGTTTATTAAAGTACTTGACCTCGGCCGCACAAGCCAATCCATGGAGCAAAAAGAAGCAAAAATTTTCTAGGGTTATCTTGCGGCATACACTCCAAATGATCAGTTCATGGAATGCAGCACTTACTGCAAATGCCAAGAGACCACGTCCTTGAGGTGAATTGAGAAATCCCTTTTCTTTCTTTGTATCAGGACGAAATACTTGTCTGTGTAATAAGTTTCGGATGTGTCTATTCCATCGACGACTGTAAAAAAAAGAAAGAGAAATTATTACCTACTGCTCTTGTTCTCTTTTGTTTGAATTTACCTCCAAAAATCTCTAGGACTATCGTACGTTAATACTCTTTCTTTCTTTTCTTATTTTTTTTTTCCCTTTACCTTGTAGCAATGAGTGGTGAATCAAACATATCCTCCATCTTTTGACCAGACACGGTTTGAATAGCTCCAGCTATTATATCTGCTGCACCAAATATGAGATAAGCATCAAGACCAATCAAAAATGTAGTCGTTATACTCTCTTTGCTCAACCAAGGATGTTTCAACATATACTCTGGGTCAGAAGGAATAGCAGGAATAACGAGTGATGTGAGAGTGATCAACTTGATCGTGCCTCTGATAATCTTGGCAAACCCCAGCTTTCTGACGTCTTCTCCTTCCGATGGAGACCTATCAATGATAGTTTCAAATAATGACCTTAACCATTCCTTAACAGTAAACTTTTCCATTGGTAAGAATGCACTGTAGGAAGCAATGAACCAGGGTAAAAGAGCAAATGCAATATTAGCAGGAGAGGAAGGGGATACGACGGCGAGAGGCACTGCAGCATGAACAGCGGAAATGATAGCACGTAGCTTCTTCTTTGAGATCGGTACCTTGTGTTGATATTTTAGTAACAAGTAGTCTGTGCCCAACATACAGGCATAAAGGCCAGTGAGAGGAAGAGGACGAATGACAATAGGATCTGGTAAGCTAATGTTGACTAATGGCCATGGCATCTTGTTTTCTGTTTAGAATACAAAAGAAAAGTTATTTAACTCATTATGTTGTCTTAAATATTGCATTATTACCCCTTTTTGTGTTATCTAATTATATGTTCTGTCAAACGTAAGAAAAAGGAAAGAAAAAAAAGAGACAAAAGGCTAATTTGTGTATCTCTACGCAATAATTGCGCAGGAATGGAAACGTTGTACAAGGCTCATCAAAGATAACCAGACAAAAAGACAACAATGAGATATGAATAAGACTATAATCTTGATTTCCCTTCTTCTTCTCTGTATTAAGAGCTTTTTGAAAGGGTATTACATCCATGTGTATACAGAAAGGATAGTCCGACAATACATAAATATTTATTAATATGAACCCCTCATTTCCTTTTTCTTTCGTTTTTTTTTCTCTTTAAATGGCTGACAAATACGCGCAATCGCCACTATTGGACATAAATTTACCACCACCCGTCATATTACCTTACACTCAGCTAATCTTACTTTATACCTCTGTCATCAGTATTGACCTTGTCTTGTTACGAAACGACAAACGACTACCTCTATCTCCGACACAACTACGCCTTGTTCTTGCATGCATCCATGCTATTTTACCCTTGATATTCGTATCACCCAATAGACCACTCAACGTTTTATACGCAGCCATGCCATGGTTTGTTGTTTCCTATTCTGCTCATATGCCAACAGACCAACTTACACCCGTAGCATGGATAGATGCCTTGATAAAGATCATGGTAGAACCCAATGATAATCATACCAGTAGAATCAGGTGTCGGGGTGCAGCCACTTCCTGCCTAGGCATCCTCAAATGGTCGTTCATGCATCTGTTTATTGACCCCCTATTGCCTCACAGAACACTATTTGCATTGTATTATCCGTGGCTTCATCCTATGAGCTTGATTTACGTGATACTGTATGGTGTCAAAGCCTATTGTTTGCTTGGTATAGTTGATGTCTTTATGGGACTAGAACAGATTGTCACGGGATGGAATATGGTTCAACTATTCAATTCTCCCATCCTTGCTACAAGTCCCAGAGATTTTTGGAGGTAAAAGATGAAACATATCACATACTTTAGCTAACGTGTGCTTGTGTTTTAGTCGACGATGGAATAGAGCCGTGCGCAACTTGTTACATAAGCAAGTCTTTTTGCCTGAAAAGCATATACCTGCCAAAAGACAGGAGCTACAACGAAAATCATCCTCTAGAAAAAACAGCATGGACGAAGAACAAGAGGTCTTTGTTGTCGTCGAAAGGACACATAGAAAACACGATCATAAATCAAAGCACATTAACAAACACGCATCCAATAGGCTCAAATCCTTTTGTTCTTCAAAATACGGACGCGGTCTTCTTGTATTCATCATCAGTGGGGCCTTTCATGAAGTCATCATCATGAGTACCTGCAGAAAATTGACCTTGGAGAACTTTGCATTCTTTACGATCCAAGGCATCGCAGTATCGCTTGAAGCGGCGTTACGTCAAGGAAAGCTCAAGCAAGAACCTGAAGGAAGAACACGGATCGTATGTATAGCAGCACAGCTCTGTTTCATGGCACTCACAGGCAGGTTATTCCTCGGTCCGTTCCTTCGGTATGAATTTCTAGACTAAACTTTATAGAATAAAATTGCGCTTTTTATTATTTAATCCAAACGGGCATGGAAAGCATACACAGTTTTGGCGGTATAGGTTGCATCCTTTTGAAGCAAAACCGCACTACGCCAATCGGGCTTATTGGGTGAATCAGGGTTACGAGACGCTTCTAGGCAAAATCCTGAGCTAGGACCAAGTTTTGTTTTCTTTTGATCTTTCTTTGCCTCTAATCCTTCGTCAGATAGCCAACCGCCTGTATAGAATTGGAAAGTAGGTTCAGTTGTGTAAAAGTCAAGCTCGATGCCTGATTCGGGAGAATACACATTGACAGCGTGACGGAGAGGTAAATTGGCTGTGTCGATTCTATACTCATTGTGAATGACATAAGGGTGATCATAGCCTCGAGTATTTTGAAGATGTTCAAGCCTTGCGCCAATAGGTAAACCTGCATTTTGTCCCTAAACAAGATAATGAGTTTTTTTTTTTTTTTTTTTTTTTTTTCGTATTGTTTTTCTTTTTTTGCTTTTACCGAAAAGTTCATCCAAGGTGCTTCAGACCAGCTAAGGACCTTTCCCGTAGGTAAGCAGTTTGGATCACACTCCAATACAGCCTTGACCTCATCTGTCATTGTCACTCGATGATCCAGAATCTTTGGATTCAATTCAACACCGGCCAAGTTAAAGTATGAATGGTTTGTCAAATTAATAATCGTGTCTTGATCGGTCGTAGCGTGATATTCGAGTACGAGCTCATCTTTATCTGTCACTGTGTAGGTCACCTGAGACTTTAGCGTACCAGGATACCCTTGGTCACCATCAGGAGAGACAAGCTCGAAACGAACAGATGCAGGTTCTTCCGAAACTACGGTTGCCGTCCAAATCTTTTTATCAAACCCTTGGAGACCGCCATGAAGGGCATTTGGACCATTGTTGATGTCTAACTGGTACTCTTTACCATCCACTGTAAACTTACCCTGGGCAATACTACAAAATATTAAAAAAGGTTGTCATATATTGGTTATTGTTTATACCGATTTGCATATCGTCCAATGAGAGCGCCAAAGTATCTGTTCAAAGGATTCTTGTAGGATTCAAAGTCATCAAAGCCCAGTACGATGTCGCGAATAGTGCCTGTTTTATCAGGTGTGAGGATATGAGTGATCGTAGCGCCATACGTCATGATCATGACAGCCAAGGTTTTGCTTTTATTGATCAAAGTGTATTGATCAACATCAGGAGCAATCGTTATTTTTGTTACGGGCATCGTTAGTTTTGTGAAAATAAAGAAAGAAAAAGAAAGAAAAGAGAAAAACTAGTGCTATTTATTAGTTACACGGTTTTCGCCTTGTCGCAAGTTAAAATCTGCTTAAAAGTTGCATAAATGTACTATATAACTGACAAAAACGATGTAAATAAGTAAAGTCGTGATGAATACATCTTTAAGGATTTAGTATAGTCATCTTTAGATGAAGCTGCTTTACTAGTACTCTCTTTTTTTTGTGTGCGAGTTATTTTTCACTGAAAGAACGGGATACATTGGGAAAGATACGGAGCTTTTTTTTTCAAGAAAATTTCCCTTGTTATGTAATAATACCCCGCTCGTATAAGGAACATTTGTATTCGTACGCGACAAGCTTTTTCAAGTAAATGTGCGCCCATATACGGGCCTGAAGCGATTATCTGGTCACTCTGTGGCGTTCTCGATATCATCCAATTGGACGCAACATAAATACACTGACTTTCAGCCACGACGTCAATGTGAAATAGTGACGTTGCCTTCTCATGGAGTAGTGCGTGAAGAATGTGCGAGAAGCTAATGCGTGTCTTTGCAGTTATTAGAGAGCGCGTTTTTACAATAAATTGACATCTTTAATCTTCATATGGCTAATTCTACGTATCACTCCCTGCTTCACTTTGTATAATATAGTAAATGCGTGGTTTTTTGAAAGCGGTTTATTTCGCAGAGAAGGTATTTTTAAGCCTCTGAATACACAAAACACTTTTTTACTTGTGTTAGCATGGTTTCAATTTCGCAAATCTGTGAAAAACATTGCGTTTGTGAAAGCCTTTACACTAATTGGATCGACAGAGAGACATATAGGATTATATAGCAAGTATGGATTTTTGCACCCAATGGCAAGCATTTTCATTTTTGGGATAGAAGTATTGTGCAGACAGGTATTTGTGGAGATCATCCATATCCTATTGATAATATACCTACAGTTAGGAAAAGAAACTAGCTAAATCACACGTTACCGATTAATGTATATTATCCAGCAAACCAGAGAAGTTTTCAGGTAAATTTGACATTTCACGAACATTATGCGGTTTTATTTCTTTGATTTCTTCCAAAGTAAAAAAATCTAACCAATTTCTATCGTCAGCGTCAAAGATGAACGAAAGGTAAGAATGCTCGAACTGACAACCTTGGGCCATCTTCATCATCTCCATTTCAACAGTTTTTCCGGAGGATAGCCTCCACATCCTCTCCTCATCCTACTTGCTGGTATATTTCAATCACCTTCTGCTTATCACTGATGTCTATTTTGTTTTGCAGCAGTGATGAACTTTCTGTCGACGAACTGTTGTCGCCTGGAGGGGAGACACTACATACCCCAGAAAACTCACCAGAAGTTAGACTAATTTTACGGACGCTACCTCTACCCACTACCTATGATATCGTCTAACAAAGCTTTCCAGTATGTGGTGCCGCGCTAAACATGGCTTTATAAAGCCTCCATCTTGGTTTGTTTCTTTTCAAGGAGAAAAAAAAAAGTAATGCTGCTATTTATCCTAACTTTATGTTGACATATGCTATCAACAAAGAAGCAAGAACAGGTGTAATTATGATAAGTTTGTATTGACCTTATTTAGCTTATTTTCTGGTACATGTTGGCTCTTGTATTAATGCCAGGAAACAAATCTTTAATTAGCAAAGCGTAACACATGAGTAGTGTCGTTCATCTATATAGTAAGGTTCAGGAACAGGTGATCAGATTGAAATATATACGTATATAAACGCTTTTAGGAAAATTAAAACATTAAATGTTACTATTGCGAGGACAATCATCAATCCAACATGCACGCGTCTCGTCAAGTATTAAATCTGAAGCAAAAAAATTATAACAAAAAGTAAACAAACAGAAAAACTTAAAGTGCAACATCTTCATTAAATGATAGAAATGAATGTATATAGTATTCCTGATCGGGTTTGGAAAAGCCTTTTTTTTTTTGGGTGTGTTGCAAAATAACCCGAGTCCTTACTTCATAAGATGAGATGAAGGCAGTTAACTATGGTAATTTGAAAAATGTGACGCGATTGGACCGATGGAAGAAGCTAGCTTCGAGATGAGCAATGTGAAACTCAAAACTGAAGAATAAAAAATATGACCTCAACTACATTTTAATTAAAGTATTTTAGGAACAAGATGTACCAATACAAAAAGCTGTTGGCAATGTAGTATTCTTTGAAAATCACTATTCATATAGGATGAGTTTAACAGTGGCGATATATTCGCGCTTCCTAGATACAACTCCCAAATCAAAAAAGTCCTAACCTTAAAAAAAAGCTTTTCCAAGGAGAACATATTCCCATTGTTGCTGCAAACAAAAACCCATCTGTTATCCTTGATTGGCTGGCAAAAAAAATTGAATTTTAAACGTCATTGTATCCAATTGGATGCAACATAAATGCACTGACTTTTTGACACGACGTCAATGTGAAACCATAGCACGGTTTTTTTTTTTCTTCTTATTTATTATTAAATATGATGGACGTGCTATTAGCAGCCATATCAGGCGCTGCGCTAGCCTACTTTACAGTCAACGACGTAGTAACAGCAATTAGACCATGGAGCGTTCAATTAACAGACATGTGCTTTCACCCTGCCAACCATGACAGCCAAGGCAATCTACGAGTTGTCTACACTGGACTATCTTCGATGCTCGATCGACAGTTATGTGTGATTGTTAATATCTTTCAGCATGCCATGCATGATATTCTCGGTGCACCCATCCTCAGACTTTTACTCGCTGCCTTTGGTACTGCTCTAGCCATCATGGCCATCGAAGGTTCGCGTAAGGGTTCTAAAAAGACGCTGTTAGCACTCTTTCCTATCTACGGTCTTCTTGCCAACGTCATCAGTATATCGGTCATGTTCCCCTTGATTTGGATCCCACTTTATGTACTTTACAAGAAAAGAGCACCTACCGAAAAGGAATATTGGAGCATCACTGTTGAACGTGTCTATGGCCTGTTTACAGCCATGTATGTCGGCTACGGCCTGCCTAGCGTCGTTCTGACGACACCACAACTGACACAACCAGACACCAAATGGGAACAAGATCTTTTGGCCATCTGGCAGCTTGCGCCCATCTTACTCGTCCCACTTATTCCTGTGTTTGTCAGATTCTTTAAACAGCCTTCGCCGATCGATAGAGTAAATGATCCAGCCATGCGACATCGCTTAAAGATTGCAGAAGGAAAGGATGCCTTAGAGAAATCATATCTACTTTTGGGTATTGTCAACATGATCATCTACTTTGGCATGTACCTGCTCGTCGCGCTTCAAGGTATCCGCATTTGGGATTCTCTCGTCTTGCTCTATAATGCACCTGATAACTTGCCCGCGTCTGTGTCATTTGGCGATCTTGGTCAGATTCTGACAACCCGTCTCTTTATGGTTGACTTTGCCGTCTTGTCTCTGTCATTTGTGCTGTGGGCCATCTTGGATGGTGGCCTCAAAGCAGGTCTCCTGGTTGCGTTTGTCATGCCTTTCATTGGTCCCTCTGCTGCCATCTCTTTTTATGCCTACTACAGAGAAAATGTTATTCAAGACCTGACCTCAACACAAGTCAATCAAGACGCTTCTGATAGAAAACAATAACTTTATCATGTGTAGAACAAACGTTGTGTGTACAGCTCGTAAATTAATAAACTTGTTTATTCAATATTCAATACTTTTTGAACAGCTTTTAGCACCTGAGGATGAATAGATGCTTTGGACGCAATCACTCCCTTGTTCTTTTCCAAAGTGCGGCCAATAGAGAAATCAAGAGATTGACCATAGATATCAGTCACTTTACCTCCTGCTTCAGTTACAAGGACATTACCAGAAGCATGATCCTATCCAAAGAGTTATGAATCTGCTTTTTTTTACCCAGATTTTTTCTACATAAGCTTTGCTCGTAGGTAGACGTAGATAGATATCAGCATCACCTCGTGATATAGAGCAATATTTGGCTTGGCTATCCATACGAACGGGAGTACGTGTTATACCTAATAATTTGGCTATTTCTTCTGCATCTCCATGTGAGGAATGGCCTGCTTCGACAGATTCACAGAACGTAGATTCTTCAGTAGAAGAAATATCTGCAAACTGAATGCGAGTTTCTGTTTCGTTTGAAAAGGATCGCTGAGAGAGATAGAGGGCAAAAAGTTGGTTACCTTTCTATTTTGTTTTTTTCGCCTTTGATTTACCTGGAATGCACCTTGACCACGCACTGCGATAAATAAGGCACCCTTTTCTCCTTGGGGCTCATGATGGTTTACAGGTAAATTGGGACATCCAATGACACCTACTTGCACAATACCGTCCACAATCAATGCTAAACATACAGCATACTGTCCACCACGCAAGAATCCTTTAGTTCCATCAATAGGGTCCAAAGCCCAATGGCGGCCACGAGAACCGCCTGCATAATTACCCCGATCAATGGCGTCCAAGATCTACTAGATTATCAATGACGAGCTTATTCTATAAATAAAAGCTTACCTGCTGCTCGGAAAGTACCTCGTCTTGGCTTAATACGCCATTTGTAAGGGATACTACCTTATCTCTTAATGCCTTACCACTATCGCCTTGTAAATCCTTTGAATCCTCTTCACCCACGATAGGATCGTTTGGAAAATGTTTGTAAAGAAAAGTGTTTATGATGGCCTGAGCAGAAAAATCAGCCACTAGAACAAGGTCAGCATATATCAAGGGTTGTATACTGTGTGTGTACCAGTGACGGGAGACTTGTCGTTCTTTGTCAACGTCTCGTTGGCAACCAAGTGTTGAAAGACGGACTGACAGACTTTTGAAGCGGTAAGGACGGCTTGAATAGCTACAGCTCTTTCTTTAGAAAAGTCTGACATCACAAGTATTAGTTTATGTTTTTGCAATCAAGGAATGAAAAGTGTTTTTTTTTACCAGACATGAAACAAAAACGTTTGGTGTGATATGGCGTGCTCGTCTACATTTTAAAAAAGTAGATGCGTTATTAAGACTCCGAATAGTTGCCCTTTTAAGAAGAGTACAAACGATCGAGCTATGCTTGCTAAGCGAAGCATGACAGAAAACTAGAAAGAGAAAAAGAAAGAGAAAAAAAAAGAAGGAGGATTTTTATTTTTACGTTGTACAACAAAAGAAACACAGATCTAAACATTTTCAATAGCCTTGTAGAATGGATAATCAATGTATCCTTCAGCAGTGTTGGTATAGAAGGTAGGTCTATCGTACTTGTTCAATGGCCAACCATGGAAAAGACGCTCAGGAAGATCTGGATTAGCTATGAACGCACGACCAAAAGCAACGAGTGTACCATGCTTTTGAGCATATTCATGAGCCTTTTCAAGAGAGGTTGAGAACCCACTAGCAGCGATGAATGGACCTTTCCAGATCTGACGAAAAGGAGCCAAGGTGTCTTCTGTGAACCCGTTTTGATCGGAGGTAAAGCTAGAGCGAGGCTCGATAAAGTGAAGATAAGCAAGGTGTGGATGATGTTTTTGGAGTTGAGATGTGATATAACTCCACGTTTCTACCACAGAATCATCAAACATATCATTATAAGCCCCACCAGGAGAGAATCGAATCGCCGTACGTTCTTCGCCAATGGCTTCCGTGATAGCATCCACAATTTCAAGGGCAAATCGAGCACGGTTTTCAATACTGCCACCGTACTCGTCTGTACGCTTGTTGCAGTTTGAATTGATAAATTGATCGATCAGATAGCCATTGGCAGCGTGAATCTCAACGCCATCAAAACCAGCTTCGATCGCATTCAGAGCCGCTTGTCGGTACGTTTGAATCCATTCTTTGATCTCGGTCAAGGTGAGTGGACGAGGTACTTCATGCTCGATATTGCCACCAAAATAGTTTAACCCAGCGACCGGAACGTCTGATGCAGAAACGACTTGCTCGCCGTTAGGATTCAGTGTCTTGGTGCCTGCACGTCCGCCATGCCAGAGTTGCATAAAGAAGACACCACCCTTCTGATGAACCGCATTCGTTACCTTCTTCCATCCTTCAATTTGCTCCTTGGTAAAGATACCAGATGAGCGAACATATAAACCAGCCAAGCGATCAATGCCTGTGGCTTCGCTGATCAAAAGACCACCATTGGAAGCCCTTTGTCCATAGTATTCGACAACAAGATCAGTAGGTACCCCTTCGAGCGTGTTTCTAAAACGAACGCATGGGGCCATCACAACGCGATGGTTTAATTGATGGTTTCCGACTTTGATGGGTGTAGAGAGGCCTTGAATAGTCATTGATTTGATAATCGTCATTGAATCGCTTATTACTTATATATATATATATATATATTGAAATAGACTTTGATTAATAATAGCATTTTTGCAGACAGATTAATAATCAGGGAGGAGGGGAACACAACTGTAAAAATTTCCAGAAATGTCGTAATTTATTTTTATGTTCTATCTACTGCTGGACATGACGGTAGTCTGGTCCGTCAGTGAATGGCTTTCGGCCTTTAGCTTTCTCAGGGTAACACTTATGCGTGTGCCTCTTTCTATCACTTCACCATCGATATGGTCAAATAACCTCTCATGTATCCCATGTTCCCATTTATATCTTGCATCCTCTGATAATGCTAATATGTCCCCAGGACGTAAAAGCACATCATATTTCAATCCATTGTCATCTTGTCTTTGTCGATAAGACGTACTTTCTTCAATAGCGGGTTTCATGGTCATCACACAGGACGATAATAAGGAAATGATCAATATACCATCATCAAACCTGTTTAAGAAAAAAAAGGCTCGTATGAGTCAACATGAACCAAAGAAAAGACTGCCCACCTCAATAAGTCTACGTGGCTAACAATACCTTCACCTGCTGACATAGTTTATACGACATTCCATATAGATTTTTTTTTCTTACCCTTTTGATACAAGTTTAAAATGGCCTGATCAAACAAGGGCTCTCGTTGAATGATTTGTTGAGGAAATAGTCTTGGATACCTTTCCTTGACAAAGGATTCTATCCAACCAATATGAGAAGGAAGTGTTCCAAAACACATGGCTTGATTGATATGATCAGCACCTGCAAAATATCCAGCATTGATTATTTCATGAACAAGTGTCATTTGTTGTTCATGATCAAGTGCTTGTCGAATTAACTTTAATCCCGGAATGTCCTGTATTGTCACTACATTATCATCCTGTTCTTCTTCTCCAAATAACTCAGTCCAGTCAAGCATTAAAAGAAAAAGGAAAAAATATATTAGTCTTTTTTTTTATACATAAAATGAAACGATCCAAAGATGTAGAGATTGAAGAACATGTTGATTTTAGTACTCTATTACAAAACAAGCAGCTACTCCAAGGCTTACAACAATCAGGCTATGAGAAGCCTTCGCCCATTCAGTTAAAGGCAATACCTCTCGGCCGATTAGGCATCGATTTGATCGCACAGGCCAAATCGGGGACTGGAAAGACTGTTGTGTTTGGTGTTCTTGCCATAGAATGTGTCAATCTCTCTGTTCGTCAACCACAGGTACTGATCGTAGCGCCTACTCGAGAAATATCTGTACAGATCAGAGATGTCATTCGAGCCCTGGGCCAGTTCATTCCTTTACAAGTCGAGGCATTCATCGGTGGTCTATCCGTGGAAGCAGATATCAAAAAGGTCAATCATTGTCATATCATCGTAGGCACCCCAGGTCGGCTCCTGGCCCTGCTACAGGATAAAAAGATAGATCTGTCCCATTTGAAACTCTGGGTGTTGGACGAAGCAGACAAGTTGCTCACCAAGGAGTTTACACCACAAACAGAAAAAATCTTTTCGCAGTTACCCAAATCGATACAGCATATTGCCTTTTCTGCTACGTTTACAGATCAATTATTGAATGATTTGAACGCGTTTATGAATTCACCTCAACAGATCCGGCTTACAGAGGGTGTGCCTACACTTGACGGTAAAGCAAAAAAAAGAAGCTCCTTTTTTCTGATCATATGATATAGAGGTGCGACAATATTATGTTGATATTCAGTCAAGTGAACAAGCCTCGAAACTATCAATCTATCGGTCCAAGTTTGAAACAGTGGCAGAGTTACTGAGAAAAACACCATTTTATCAATGCATGGTCTTTGTCAACAGCATGCCAAGATCCATCGAGTTGGCTGAATGGTTAAGTGAGATGGGTTGGAAATCCGCACATATCAGCTCTGGTTTATCACAACATGAACGATTGGCCGTCATGGAAAAGATGAGGCAGTTTAAACTTCGTGTGCTGGTATGTAGTGATTTGGTAAGTTTTGATCGAGTCCACAAGTCCCCCTTGTTTAAACTCTATTTTACACAGATTGCTCGAGGGATTGACATTGATCGAGTCAATTTGGTTATCAACCTCGATCTTCCGTGGGAAGTAGAGACTTATCTACACCGAGTAGGTCGCACAGGCAGATATGGTAAGGACTATTAAGGAGTAGAGGGATTGCATATTGATCCCAAAAAAAAAATAGGAACATCGGGTATAGCTATAAATCTTATTGGACCCGAAGACATACCTCATTTTGAAGAGATCAAGAGGAAAGGCATCCAGGTGTTGCCTCTTCCTGGTATAAAGATATAAACATATACAATGTATATAAAATGTAATGAATTGAGGATAGGAAATGTAACCTATGGCGAATATCAAAAGGAATTGACAGCTGAAGAACAATCAGCACTAAAAGAACATGAGTCAGTGAATATTCAAGTAAAGCCATTTCGATCAAAACATATCAGTAAAGAAAGGCCAGTGGAGAACAAGACAAAAAAGGCTAAAACACGGGAGAAGCATAAGCCAACTTTATTACCTACTTCCAAGGACAAGTCTCGAACTGTAAAATCGCAGTCTTATTGGCAGCCATTCATTCCACCAGATTTGTTCTTTTAGACAAGTTATTATTTTTATTTTATTGGACAGTAATATTAAAAAAGGGGAAGAGGACAGAATATAAAAAGTTTAGTTTATGAAAAAAAGGGGGACAAGAAATAGTATGAAGATAAAGGAGAAATAGAGAAAAATAAATTAAAAAAAGGCATCATACTTTAAGGTAGAAACAGAACCGGCCGATCTATACGCATACATTGTTGTTCAACATATATAAAAAGAACATATACAAGAAAAAAGAAAAGCATATATGTAAAAAAAAGTCATAAAGGAGAAAGATAAATGAAAGTAATGAAAGTATTTACAGTGTGTTTCGACGTCCCAAAGAGTCATATGGGTTCATGAGGGTCATTTGTTGATCAAAGATAGGGTCAAAAAGACGAGGAGTGGTATATCTAAACATCACGCTTGGATACATCTGTTGGGTAAAGTATGAAACGTGCTGAGGGATCTTTTCTGATAAATCCCACTGATAGTTACTGTTGTACAAAGTACTGTCAAAAACTGGTTGTTGAATATGGGTCATGTCAACAATGGGTGTAACAGGTGTCAAAAGCAACTCTTCTTCATCTGCTGTTGATCCATCAAAGGGAGGATAAGACATTGTACGTACCATAGGGCAAGAAGAATAATGGTCATCATAACAGTATCCTGCTTCAACAGATGGCTCTCTTGTCGTCTTGACTGTCTTTTCTTTGGCTCTTCGGTTTTGAAACCAGACTTGAACTCCTCTAGGCGTCATATCGAGTTGCTGTGCGAGTAATTTACGCAAGGAAGCATTTGGTTTGGGGTTATCCAAGAATGTCTTTTCGAGCACTTTGAATTGACTACGAGTCGTTCTCTTACGGCGCTTTATCTCGAATGGATTGTAAAAAGATGTCTTGAATTGATTTTCTTGTTGTTGTTTTGACTGTTGTTGTTCTCTTACTTTGCAGGCAAAGTTGGAACCTTTGTCAATTGTTGGTAATACATAGAAAGAACTTTCTTGGCATACACTGTTGTTCATGGTTGACATAAATGTTACAAAATAATAAAAACAAGGGAAAAAAATAATATAACAATTGTTTTTTTAAAAGACTTATTATAGAAAGAAAAGATTAAGAAAGTTGGGGCTTTTATATGAAATATTTCTCTAAAGGAAACTGATTGCAAAAATAGAAAAGGGGAAAAGGGGGAGGTCCTATAAAAAGATAATAACAAAAGCAAGGGGAGAATAAGGGGAGAAAGAACGGACAGATGGATACAAAAGATCATATTGAAGTAGCGCGTATGCTTATATGAAGGGGGATTAAGTTGATTACAGGAGTTTATGATACAAAAAGTTCGAGAGTGTACAGATGTATGCATATTATCTCGTGTAGCCTTAATTCATTGATAGACAGTAATGACTAACAGAACAAGGAGATGTAAGAAAGAATGAATAAAGAGTATACGTATGAAGGGGAAAACAGAGGGAACATAAATCTCCCAGTCACACTTGAAAGGAGTCTCATACATTGTGGCAATCAGTGTCGATCAAGCTATACTCTTTTTTATATAAAGCGCGCGCGATTTTCTAAGCAAAGAGATGGCAAGAAAGTATGAAGTAGGATAGACAAATTAAAAAAAAAAAGTTGATATGCAAATCAATCTATGTAATGTGCCAATAAACTTTAATATCCTCGTTGTCATAGGAACACACCTTGTTGACACACTTTATGCATGCGTGTAGATACTAATATAAATGAGGAGATCTTGCCGATCGAGGTACATATCTTCACACGTTTTTTCCACCATCCTACTCTACCTCTCTCCCCTTCCCAATAGGATGTCGTATTTTTTTTTTAAAGATGGATCCACTTGCTGAATATAGATTGACAGCTTGATGACATTTCGTTGGCACTTTTGGTCTATGTATTAGAATGCTATCTAATTAGAGTCAATCGTGATAACTTTATCCTCATTTCCTCATCATATGACGTCATATAATGGTTCAAAAGGAGAGTCGAAGGAAAAAGAACAAACGGACTTCATGTCAGATCTATGGAATTGACATAAAGTGCTGTGAGTAGAATTCACTCTTAATTTTCTGATTCATTTAATTTATTTGAAAGGGAGAGCTTTTAAAAACCGGTTTACGGATGCTCTTCATTCCCCAATTGGTTATTCTTATTGTCTTTATATAACTGTAAGCTTCCTTTGGTATTAGACTTGACTCCCAACTTGAAGGGAGTATATGATAACACCATGTACCCTTCTCTCTTTTTTTCTTCGTATTTACTCGGTTTGTTGATAAGTTCACCAATAAAAACAGTTTGATGTACAAGGCGTTTATTTGAGATCCATGTTGGAATTTTTGCCACCCATCAGAGACTCTAGCCATTTCTAGTGGCCGTTTTGGTGCCAAATACGAAATCTATGTTGGTCATGATCTCCCGGATCAAAATGGAGAGAGAGAGTACAACACTATTGTTTGTGATGATCTTTCATTTTACCTTATGCAGGGTAATTATGTGGCGTTTTTGGGATATAGCGGTGTGTTACTACGATTGAAAGTTTAAAAAAAGAGCCAAGCTATATTCACTTACTGTGTGGTAGAGATAAGTTTTTTTGTCACTGTGTTCCTGTGATTGTTTGCTCAATGTCCCACTTCGCAATTGTATTTGTGCATATATGCCATCACTCAAGCTGACCAGATAAAGGCTTATTGTGATTAGTCCCGTCAATAGTTTTAACTTTTTTTTTTCACTAAAGCCATCAAACCTGTTTTGCTACAACGCCACACACACACGCCAAATTTTTGCATGTTGCCATAAATGTTATGACTTATTGTCTCCCCCCTCTCCCTCTCCTTCAGGGCATATATATATATATATATAATCGCTATTTATTTAGAATCCTTTTTGCAAATTTTCTTTTCTCAATGTGATACATTATGGGAAATTTTGCCCCGAACAATGAATGTCCCAGAGTTGTCCACTGATTGTTCTAAATAAAGTCATGGCTGTTTATTTTTTGCTTTGCTTTTGAAGTAAAGAATAAAATTTCAGCCAATAGCGTCAACTCTTAAAAATGAAATGTCCTAAGAAAAGGCTCTGGGCTTGGGACATTTTTGAAAAACTCAAAAATGTCCTAGCAAAGACAGTAGAGCATCCTAAATAAAATTTTCTTCAAACTTCCTAGGCAAAATTTCCCGTTGTGATATATACATACATACATACTCAAAATTCTCAGAATGCTCGGTCAACAAGATTTGTCAAGGTCTCTAGAAGGCATGGTGATTAAAGCTTATGAAAGCACAAAATCAATATCATAGCAGTCTATTCAAATGTCCCATAGCACATATAAGAATGTTTTTTCAGACATGTTTAGCAGCCTTGTTATGATTCTTGTATACACTTTGATTAGGCAACATAGAATATTTCAAATTGTATGGATCTTTTTTTTATTCATTTACAAGAATGGAGGGTTTCATATGAGGTCACATGTACATCAAGTAAGCCATTCGAATAGAAAGCTGATATTAGAGGGTGATCCCTCGAGAACAACAGGTTACACACGTGCTTTTTTTTGGACGCTCAAAAAGTCAATTACTATAACCTTCATCTGCTACTATCACATAGAATCAGTCAAAGCTTTATGATTCCATGTAAATATAGAGAGACTCATCCGATATTTTTCATAACTAAGCAATGAAATCATATGGTCAGTGTTTTCTTTTTCACAAAATAAAGTTCAAATCTTGGTTTTGCAAAAGATTTTCGTTTAGCAGCAAAGTAAATTGTTGTACAAATGTGTGCATAAACTACATTTCATCTTTCACTGTTTTGTAAAACATAAATGATACGAGAAGGGTATCATCAAACTTGACAGCTTAAGGAGAGAGACAATAAGTTGTAGTTTAAGGCAAGTATTCACATTGAAGTACTTTATTGTTTTTTTCTTTCTTTCTTGTCAGCTCGCTCCCCCCCCCCTTTTTTTTGCACCCTTTTTTTTCTTTCTTTTTCGTTCTCTCTCAAAGCATTGATCGTCTTGACTTTTTTCTTTTTCTTTTTTCTTTTCTCTCAATTTTGTATTAAAACACAAGCTAATATTCTTTATTTTTTTGAACAAAATGTCTTCATATATATCACGATCTAAAAGCACAGGTGCCGATACATTATTAAAATATCAACAAGACGAAAAAGAAGCAATTGATTATTTAAATTCAATGTTGGATATACAAATTACAGAACGACTTGACCAAGAACTGAGAGACGGCGTTTTATTATGCAAGTAGGTTTAGTGGCTGTAGTATGTGAAGGGAGAAGAAGAAGAGGAGAGGGGAGGGGGAGAAAGGGGGAGCATGATACTAAATGATAGATAGTCTGTTAAACAAACTGAAGCCTGGAACAGTAAAACAGATTGGACATAAGGATTTATCATTTATCAAAGTAAGCAAAATAAAGTTTAACCTGATTTTTTAGTAACATGTTTCTCTCATAGATGGATAACATAACACGGTTCTTACAAGGAGCTCGTCAGGTAAGTTTCTTGTATATAATAAAAGAGGAGAATATATGTAAAAGTGTGGATTGTTAATTAAAACTTTATAGTTGGGTTTAGACAAGTCTGATCTTTTCGATACATTGGATTTATTCGAAGCAAGAAATATGGAAGCAGTAAGTATAACTTCTCCTCTTTCCCCTATTCTCCTCCTCCTAATTTTTTTTAAAAAGGTCATTCATACAATACTTGTCATTTCAAAACTAACACCACAACAAATCCTATCGAGACAAAGAAAAAGTGTGACGAATAACAACAAAAAACAGAGAAAGAAAGATGCTTCTTTCAATCGACCGCCTAAATCACCTCTTCGCTTATCTGCAGCTGATATATATTGTCCCAACAGAAGACACACGGCTCATTTTGAACAGGAAAATGTGCCAAAGGCGTCGAACAGACGATATTCAACACCAGAGAATAATACATATCCAAATAGACACAAAGCGCTTCGAAAAAGAAATGATTCGGCTGTTGAATTATTGAAAGACGGAGAGGATGATGATAAAAAAGAAAAAGTGTTGATTTATAATAAGGATGGAGTGAATACACATTATGTAATAGTAGAAACCATATATATGCGTATGAAGTATAACATTTCTTGATGATAGCAACTAGGCAATTGTATTGGTAAAGGCCAATTTGGATGTGTGTACAGGTATAACTTGCGCAAAACAAACATACATGTGTGCTCATTTAGACATTAGAGCGCTTGATCTAGGTACAGGCGAGATTGTAGCAGTCAAGAAATTGTTTTTGGAAAATGGTGAATTAGACGAAGAAATCATGGTATGTTTGTGTACATAATACACACAAAGGTTTAACATGCATATAGAAAGAAGTATCCCTACTTAAAACATTATCCCACACCAATGTCATTCGATATCTTGGATTTATTCAAAACAAGAATAGTGTCAATATCATACTAGAGTATGTGTACCCTACTTGTCTTTATTTCTCTCTAATTGTCTCTATAGATACGCTGAAAATGGTTCTCTCAATTCCACACTGAAAGCGTTTGGCGCATTTCCAGAAAAACTTGTAGCTTCATTTTGTATCAAGATTTTGAATGGTCTTGAATATCTTCACGCTAACCAAGTCGTTCATTGTGATCTCAAAGCAGCCAACATCCTCACGACCAAGACAGGCGATGTCAAACTAACCGATTTTGGTGTATCGCTCAACTTGAAGATGAAAAGTGCAGATGCTGGAAGCGTTTCGGGAACACCCAACTGGAGTAAGTTATTCTTTCA